TCCATCATCTAACAATCCATCCACTTGAATTACCTCATTATCACTTTCACTATCACTATTATTTTCTACTACATCATCAACTGGTCTTTTCCTTTCATTTCCTAGGTTCTTTCTAGAACCAGATCCGGAAATACTGGACATCTTACCTGAATTAGTAGTTTCCTTTTCAATTATACAATTCTCCTTATCTACTGTCCAAACTATACTTTGCAAGACATCAAAACTATAAATAATAATCTCATCTCATCTCTTATATTAAATAGACTATAATATCAATAATAATCTAGCATCAATTAGCGTTCTTTGGAAGCTCATCGCTAAAATTTTTCAAAAAATTTTCCAAAATTTTCCAAAATCAATTTAAAGTCAAACTATCCACGTGATATGAAATCACATGATCATGATGTTTTTGTGTCTGTGTCTGTGTCTGTGTCTGTGTAATATCTATTTAATTTTGTGTCTCCAATCAAGAAACCAACACTTTACCTATATAAATAGAATGGTAATTGAAACTAAACTTATTTGTAATGGAGTATCTAAAAGAATCATAACACAGATAGAGTTATGAGAGATAGTGTTTTATATTCAATTAAATATAGGTAATTGTGATTATTATCCTTATAATAATGATGGTAGTATTTAAGACTGAATATGATTTACGCCACTATGTTTTTCTTCTCAATGATGTTGAATAGGATTCAATAAACTACAAGAGAAACCATAAACTAGTTTACCTACCAATGATATATTTATTTTTAACTTTTGCGTCGATTGGGTTGTCTTTAATTATTGATTATTTTATTTGGTGGAAAGGAGAAGATGTGAGAATCATGTAGACAAAAGGGTCCAATATATATATTGTATTTAAATCACGTGATAATAAAATCATATAATACGATGATCTATTTTCCCTAATTTATTATTCGCAAACACATCATCATCTTCAACCCAATTTCGAAAGAGCCTTTTTTAAATATCACACAACCACTTTTTAATTCCTTATTCAATGTGTTTAAATAATTTAATAAGCACATAGAAACATATACGTATATAAATATACGACATCGATCGAGGTTTGCCGGAGAGGATCTTCTGCTTACTGATCAGATCTGGGGATTTTTTTTTAACTTTTTAATATTACCACTCACCTACAGATTAATTTTGAATTTCATTTAAAGATTGATTCGTTAAATCAAAATATTTTGACTAATTACGTTAACAAATGTTTCAAGAAGAAGCTATTTTCCGTTCAGCGGATATGGCCTATATCCAATTGTACATCCCGTTGGAAATTTCAAGGGAAATTGTATCAATGCTAGGAAACCTAGGGAATGTAATGTTCAGAGATTTAAACAGTAATCTTACTGCTTTCCAAAGAGGTTATGTATCCCATTTACAAAGATACAATGATATTGAAAGATTATTAAATTATTTAGGCGAGGTATCAGTAAAACACTCAGAAGCTGTCTGGAAATACACCTTACATGTCGATGAACAAGGTAATGATATCGAAACCCCTCACATAAGTCAAATAATTGCAGAATTAGACGTAAATTCTCAAGACGCTATTAATGATGTAATGGATGATATTATTTCTTTTGAATCAAGAGTTAAACAATTAGATGACTCTTTAGTACAATTAAAGATTAAACTAAATGATCTGATAGAACAAAGATATGTTTTTTTCGAATGTGGTAGATTCTTGGAAGCCAACACAGGTTTAGCTGGAAGATTATCTCGTGATAACATGGATGCCAATGATTTTAGATTAAACTCTGATGATTTGAGCGACAATTTAAGTGAAGCTTTCTCTTTTGATGATGATACCGTAGCTAATACAGACTTAGAAGAAGGTTTGTTACGAAATGATTTAGCAAGAGATGAGGAAATAGAAGTTTTTGATCAAGTCGGTTTTAATAATAACTTTATGATCGTAGGCTCGATTAAAAGATCAAAAGTTGAATTATTAAACAGAATCGTTTGGAGATTATTGCGTGGTAATTTATTTTTTCAAAATTTCTCAATTGACGAAACCTTGTTGGAAAATGGAGAAAAAGTTGAAAAAGATTGTTTTATTATCTTCACTCATGGTGAAACATTATTGAAAAAAGTTAAACGTGTTGTAGAGTCATTAGAGGGTCATATTTATCCAATGGAAGATAGATCTCATGATAGAATCCAAGAACTAAATACCCAAATCAATGATGTACAACAAATTGTTTACGCTACTGAACAGACTTTACACACTGAACTTTTAGTGGTTAATGATCAATTACCAAAATGGACCGCCTTGGTTAAAAGGGAAAAATATATTTATGCTACTTTAAATCTATTTAAGGACCAATCACAAGGTTTGTTAGCCGAAGGTTGGGTGCCAGCATCTGAGATGATGCTTGTATCTAACTCACTGAAAGAACATGGTGAACAAATTGGTTCAGAATACACTCCTGTAATTAATGTAATCCAGACAAATAAAACCCCTCCAACTTATCATAGAACAAACAAGTTCACTGGTGCATTTCAATCTATTGTTGACGCATATGGTATTGCTAGTTATAAAGAAATTAACCCAGGGTTAGCGACCATCGTGACATTCCCATTTATGTTTGCAATCATGTTTGGTGATGCTGGTCATGGTTTCATTTTATTATTAATTGCATTATTTCTAATCATGAATGAAAAAAAATTCGAAGCAATGCAAAGAGAAGAAATTTTTGATATGGCTTTCACTGGTAGGTATATGATATGTTTAATGGGTTTTTTTTCAATTTATACTGGTTTAATGTACAACGATGTTTTTTCTAAGTCAATGACTTTATTCAAATCAGGTTGGGAATGGCCATCATCATTTAAAAAAGGTGAATCAATTGAAGCTACAAAAGTTGGAGTTTATCCTTTCGGTTTAGATTTTGCATGGCATGGTACTGATAACAATTTAATATTCACAAATTCTTATAAGATGAAGTTGTCAATCTTAATGGGGTTCATTCATATGTCTTATTCATATTTGTTTTCTTACGTAAATTTCAAATATAAGAATTCAAAAGTTGATATCATAGGTAATTTCCTACCAGGTCTTATCTTTATGCAATCTATCTTTGGGTATCTATCATGGGCAATTCTTTATAAGTGGACAAGAGATTGGATAAAAGAAGGTAAACCAGCTCCAAATTTGCTGAATATGTTAATTAACATGTTTTTAGCCCCTGGTACTGTATCAGAACAGCTCTACAAGGGACAATCATTCATTCAAATGGTACTATTAATAGCTGCGCTAGTATGTGTTCCATGGTTATTGCTCTATAAGCCTTTGATGTTAAGAAAACAACATAACCAGGCTCAGTTACAAGGGTATCAAAATATTAATGAACAAAGGGTCAATGAATCATTGTTAGATTCCCAATCTAATGCAGGTGATGAGGTGATAATAACCGAAGAGTTTAACAAAGAAGATCAACACGAGTTTAACTTCGGTGATATAGTGATTCATCAAGTTATTCATACCATTGAATTTTGTTTAAATTGTATCTCTCACACTGCATCTTATTTACGTTTATGGGCACTTTCATTGGCACACGCACAATTATCTACTGTTTTATGGGATATGACTATCGCCAATTCATTCTCCTCTGCTAACTCTGGGTCCCCATTTGCAGTAGCAAAGGTAGTATTCCTATTTGGCATGTGGTTTGTTTTGACAGTTTGTATTTTAGTTCTTATGGAAGGTACTTCAGCTATGCTGCATTCTCTTCGTCTTCACTGGGTTGAAGCGATGTCTAAATTTTTTGAGGGTGATGGTTATGCATATGAACCATTTTCTTTTAAAAAGCTTTCGGATTAGATTTTTTAAATCTTCGCTTGAAATTGGTACAATTCTTATCATTAACAATTCTTTGACTTGTTCCTTAGTATCTATTTAGAGTACATTAGTATATATAGAAGGGACAACGATAAATGTAATAAATACCCAACATTCTACTTTATACAACAATATAGTTATAAATAAAGTTAATTTCCCAAAATTACTGAACTGCATTGGGATTAGTCTAAATTTTGAAACATAATATATTTACAACGATGTAACCTGTGATTTTTCTGAGTTATGCGATGTTCCAGAACCAGTCGATGTAGCTTCTTTCACCTCATTTTCACTAGCATTCCTTCTTGAAGTTTTAACTTTGGAAACCGTATTGGTATCAGATTTAGCATCTTTTAATGCTTTCTTCTCTTCAGCCCTTTTCAGTTTCCTTTCAGCGGATCTGACTTTTCTTTCATACGTTGATTGAACAGAACGAATTCTATAGTCAAGTTCTTTGAAATAGAAGGAAATACTTTCTTCGATACCGGAAATGGCATTTTTAATAGATTGCTTTATTGAGAAAAGCCTTTCTCTACTCAATCTCTTTAACATGTCAGTGTTCTTGAGATATTTTACCATATAAATATTATCCTTTAAGTCTGATAACTTTTCGTGCCAATTCCTTAAATTATTAGATATGGATTGAGGAACCTTAACATTAGAAAATTCTTGCGTAATGTCAAGATTATAATTAGTAAATGAATCTTTAGAGTCTATTAGATCCTTTTGGATGCCTTGCTCTTCGGCAGCGACATCTGAAGAAAGTTTTTCAGCTAACTGCAATAGTCTTGCAAATTCTTTAACATCTAAAACTTCATTCACAGTTCTCAGGAAGAAATCAATTTTATTCATAAGGTTATTAACACGACCAATTCTCCTATTTATTTGTCCTTTTGTCATTTTCTTTGACGTTTGTTCCAACCACTCTAAATACTCTGGTATTATATTGGAAAGTTCTTCAATATCTGCAGCTGGCCCATCTCTTATTTCTTCATTGTCAAGAAGTTCTCTTCCACTGTACAACAAACCTTCGAGAATATTCTTTGCTTCATTTAGTTCATACCTATTTTTATCAGCCTCTTCTAAATTTGCATTATAAGATTTATATGATTCGATATCTTTTACGCTTACTTTTTCAATTTTTCTGTAGTTGTTTGAAAATTTCATATTGAATGGTGAACCATTTTTACCTCCAAAGTTAATATCATTTGCTTCTAAAATTTCGGTTTTTTCAACGTCTTTCCCTGTGCTTTTTAGGGTCAATGAATTCTTCATACAGATAGCTTCCGACTTTTCAAGAAAGAATTGTCTATTTCTATTCAAAATAAATGTAGCATTGATAGCTACACCTCCCGGACACTCCTTTTTAGAAAGCTTTGATCTAGATGATTCTAAATCTATAGTTACAGTGTTGAATAATTTCTTATCTTCATATAGATCAAATGTAAAGTTCGACTGAACGTAATCATCAACAAATAAAATATGTGATGACGTTCTTGGATAATCAGTTCCTTTAGCAAAGACAGTATGTAACTTATTGCTGCTTGATAATCCTATCGAATATTGACTAGGAGAATGATCAACTGTATCCAATGGTTTTAATTTAAAGGAATTAAACGTTTTAACACCTTTGATGCTCACACCATTAACAGCAGCTTCATCCGTATTAACAGTACGTAAAATTTTATCCTTCCCGATGAATTCAGAAACCCTTTCTTGAATTGAAGGAATTCTATTACCTCCACCGAATAACAGCACACCTTTCAATTGCTTAACACTGATTCTTGGTTGCCATAACTGTTCGCCAAATAATTCTTCCAACGGAATTACTGCATCAGATATCTCATTTTGAATGAAATCTTCAAACTCACTTCTTGTCACAATAACTTTAAAATCAATATCATTTATCAATGATTCAATGCTGACTGTGACTACCGAATTAGCACTCAATACTAATTTTGCCTTTTCTGCAGCTTGATTTATTTTTGCCATAGCTCTTGGATCAGCATGAAGTTTTTGGGACCTAATATCCTTATTCTTCTCTAGAAACTTATTCTCAATAATATTAGCAATAGCTAATGTAAATGTAGAACCGCCCAGATTATCATTGAATTTATAACTTCCCATTTCAATTTGTATAGGTTCGGAAGAGTTTGAAGACTTCAAAACTGAAAACAAAGAAGCTTGAGTAGAACTTCCTCCCATATCATAGATTGCATAGTATTGAGGCTCATCAGGTGTGAACTCTTTCTCTTTTAGTACAAAGGAGATGGCAACAGATAGACCGTCAGGTATAATTACTGCATCTAGGTCATCTACAGCCATAGAAACGGCATTAAGTATAGCTTCACGTTGATACTGATCATAATAATTAGGAATTGAAATAGCAAGTTCTCTGACTGTATCAGAATTATCACTAATTGAGTTATCTTGTAATAACTTATTTGCTCTGTTAACAATTTCTTGTATATTCATTGCTAAAAGTTGTTCAATAGGGAATTCATTGCCATCAACAACAAAAGATAGAGAATTCCAAGGACTAGAAGTAATATTTATCCCAGGATGATGTTTCAAATAGTTAGATACCACTGATACATCATCAATAGATTTCCCAATTAATGGCTTAATGTGCAAAAATGAGTTCTGAGGTTGTCTTGTAACCAAAGAACCAACTGCGGAACCATAAATACGTTCAATTTCACCATTAAACTCCATAATTGCTAAACCAGAAGTGTCTTTACGTTTTGATTCAGGTGTCAAAACAATCTCTAGTGGGGCCTGTGGTGATATCACCATGGCTTTTAACAGTTGATGTCCATAATCAATCCCTAGTAATGCACCATGACCAATTTCAAATACCAACAAAAACGAAAATAACAATTTACCAATGCTCAACATCTCATTCACCCCTTGTGTTACTCCTTGACATCAATAACAATCAATACTCATCAGTATTCATTAACTGAACCATCTATTTAACTTGTTCGAATAAGGTTTTTCTAGTTTAGAATTTGATATACCATAGTAAAATTTAATAGTATAATAACGTCATAGTTATACAAATGACGTACTTTAATTTACTATTCACTGAACTTGTTGAAATGATTTAAAACATTGGTAATGTCATTAATATAATATTGTATTATATAGGGATGATGGTATTATTTAGTTTAATTTAGTATCTATGTTCGCAATGAATATACATTTTTGTATTTAAATTCTTAGTCATTATATGGAATCGTCAAGTTTGGGTTTGTTAAATGTTCGACCAAAAGGGTATAAATATCTGATGGGATTCTAGCTACGAATCCTACACCTAATCTTATTATTTCATCAGCGTCAAATTCTGGTAAAGGTCTTGTTAACAGATTCATTGGTGAATCGGATGCTAATATTTTTGAACGCATAGTAACTAAAAATGCAACGATGAATAAGATATTCATATGAAACCCATATGCAAACATAAAATCCCATAATTTGCACACTTGATCCAATGGTTTGTTACAACTTGACAAAGTTAATATTGATGGTATACCATAAATTTCGGCAGTTAATAAATTATCACTTAAGAATTTACTTAATTTTGGATCTATTATCTTTAAACATATATCAAGTAATTTTGCACCATTATGGACACCAGATAAGCTATTGTTCAAATATGTTGGTACAATTGTATAACATAACGTGGTAAACATTTGGAAAGCCATTGGTTCTGAAGGACATGTATATAATAAAGGTGCTAATAGTACGTTCATACCTTGAACATATGTGCTAACACGATTTGAGCTTGATTCGATATTTTGATCATATTCTTCTTCTTTTTGTAGTGTTTGCCAAGCAAAACAGGATAAACATCTAATTAAAGAATCTTCTGATACAGTGTTGACAAATCTTGAGTCTGTTTGCAAAGTTCTAAAAGTATCATTCTTAATTTTTTGTAATATAGGTACTGGGGCAGGGCCTAATTGTAATAAAGCCATATAAATCTGAGTTGACCTCTCCATTGAAGTTTGTGATAAAATGGACCAAACATAACACCTGGTTCTTTGTTGGCTCTTAGTCTTAGCAACAGGTAATCCTTCTGATAAAATCAAATATCGAAGTTGAGAAAGTGAAGATTGTATAATAAGTGGTTGTTGATTAATGAAATTTTCTATAGAATTCATACTTGTAACTTTAAATATAACCAATAGATATCACACTTGTTTTTTGCTCAATTATCATGAAAACAATCCACTACCACAACAAATATTTTAGAAACGAATATCAACTACAATAAACCTTATCAATAACAATATATCAGCCTATATACATATATAATTCACCATCTTCATTGGTATTAAACACGTCTTTGTTGGTGCTTGATCTTATATAAATAGGTTTGATTTGATGTAATTTATTACACGCGATGAGCTTTAACAAGAGAATTAAAAGGGTAAAACAGTAAACAAACGAAACGAATAAGCTAATTAGGTTATGCAAAGTAGTGAAAAGGGTTAGATTGGCGATTGCTTGAAAATATAATTTCTAGATGTATCAATGGTATTATTCTTTGAATTTTTTACCAAACATTATCATTTGCAATTGATCATATAACGAGATAACACCTGCAGCAGCTACGCTTCTGAAGATATTTGCACCACACCCTTTGAATAATGATTTGGGACCTTCTGTTGTTAAAATTTGCGTAAAACAATCATATGCTCCTTTGTATTTTATGGTTTGGCCTGAAGTCATCATCATCCTCCTTCTTACTGTATCTAATGGATATGAGATTGTTGATGCAACTGTTGTGATGACCCAACCAAGAGCGAATGAGGCAATGAATGAATTGGCCATTTTTCCTGTTAATAATATTGGCTTTAAAGAATCATATAGACCAAAATATAACCCTCGATATACAATTATTCCAATCACTGAAGGAACAAATCCTCGATATAAACCAACGAATCCATCGGTGGCCATTGTCTTTTTGTAAACATCGAGTAATCCATTAAACTGACGTTGTTGCCCTTTCAATTCATGTGATGCTCTAGCATCTGCTGCTAATCTAGTTCTTGCATAGTCCAATGAGTATACAAATGATAACGATAATGCTCCAGCTGCACCACCTGAAAATAAATTCCCTGCGAACCATTTACCATATCCATCAACCTCTTTAGTATAACCAAACATACCCTTTATATGATCTTTAAAGGCAAAATTTAATGCCTGTGTTGGAAAGTACCTAATCACATTTGCAGTATTACCTCTCCAGAATGATAACACACCTTGTGTCTTGGCAGTTCTCTTGAAGCAATCTATGATGCCTTCATATTTTCTATCAAGAGTACCTTGTTTAACCATTTCATCTTGATTTTGCATCATCAATTTAACTCTTTCAATTGGTGCTGCACCTGTCTTAGCTATTGCTGCTGAAATACCTCCCATTAGGAAGTCTGTTAAGAAGTTTGCCTTCATAGGTGTCTTTTCATTTACTGACATAGTTAAATTGCTTCTTGATTAGTTGACGTTGATCTGTTGCTTCATATGAAATAAAGCAAGTATTACTAAATTTTATTAAAGTTTATTTAAACCACTATTGGTACTTATATTTACGAATGTATTTATACAAATCCGTTTCCATTGGCGGTTTTCTCTTTGGTTTTCTTCATTGCGACGACGTCACTGTTTGAGGTAAGACCCTTATTAATTAGGGACGATAAGTGATCCAGGATACCAAGCTAAAGATAAACAGTTTGGTTAATCAGTTTTATCATTATAATGATAAAATTGTTATCACAAAACATAATTGATAGGATATGTATACACTTCAACGTTCTTTCCCGTCTGAATCAAAGTTCAATTCATATATACAGTGGATATCGTAGATTAGTTGACCATTCCTGAGTACAGGCATTGCTCTATATATTATATCCAATTGTAGTTATGAAAACCTTGATAATAATGAGTTTAAATACAATATGCGTGGGGTGGATTTAGTATCATCTTGATTAGACCACCAAGTATATTCCAGGCAGTTAACATTTCCCTAAGTCCCGATCTATCAGATTAAATGGTCAAAATTATCCAGCAATTTCCAATATCCAGTATTAGAATAAATTAAAATAAAGTAAAGTACCATTATTATCTTGGATCCAAACACAACAAGATATTCTAAACCATTATCCTCTTCGTTACTGAACTTATTAAGTATTAATGGTTAATTAAGAATAGATGTTACAAGAGTTAGGGATACCACTTCAGTTTCCCACTGAAGAGAACCAAATAAATTCGGTTCTAAACAATTTAATCAAATTGAACATTATAAAACTAGTTAGCATATAATTACCATTCCTTTTAACTTGTTTTGATAGAAGTTTCTTGATAGTTCAGTTACTTTATTTAAAGGCACACACTATACTTGTCTTAAATTTGAATATTATTTATTATGTCGTATTTTATGATAGTCATCGCAAAGTGAAAAATTTTGGTCAAACAGCTCAATGAATTTGGTTAGTTTATAAGGTAAGGAAAGAATGGAATTAACAATAACGTAAAGGTTTACTTAACATATGATAATGAACTGATTGAATATTATCTGTCAAATCCATAGAGACAAGCTTGTGCTGGTAGGAACAGTCATTATTTTGCTGTTTTTATAGTACCATTATTACTGGATCAAACCCTTTTTGGTTTTAATCTCCAGGAAGGATATAAAAACTATACAGGCCAAGGCTAACAATACTTAAATAAAGAAGATATCTGAAAAATGGTTCAAGAGAATAGAGATGATGGGGCAAGAACTGGATCCGATGCTTGCATGTGCCAATGCTGTGTTAAGAGTCGGGCTAATAAGAGGACTGGTGGCTCTGGAAGATCTGGTGCTGTGAGGAGACGTCATAGAGATTACAGGGCTAATTTTTTAAAGAATATGAACTTTAAAGGTACTAATTATGATGTTGTCACATCAGTGGAATATCTTAATGCTAAATATGGACTTAAAAAAAGTAGTTATATCGAAAAGTTCATTCGTTGTATTCATAAAAAAATTGATTTAGATGTAAGGAAAATAACTGACGAATATGTAGAAAAATTGAATCCATGGGTAAAAGTCAAATTATTTCTTTTATTGGTCACATTATCTCAAAGGGGTGGACCAGAATACTGGTTGGAAAAATCAGATCAATTGAAACTTGGTGAAGAAGAGGTAGATGATGGAAAAGAGCATGCCGATGATGATGATGAAGAAGAAGAAGAAGAAGAAGAAGAAGAAGAAGAGGAAGAAGAAGAGGAAACTGAAGAAACGAATCAATCCAAGACTAAACCCACCGATGGTATTCCGATTCAAATTGATACAATATCCGATACAATTGCCAAAGATTTAAAAGAAAAAATCAAAGATAATAAAGATACATTCATGACATTGACAGAACATATCATGAGACAAAATATAAAACAAGACTTTACCGAAAGTACCTATGATGAAAACTATGTTTTTTCGTCTATTTGGGCAAATTTTATGGAAGGTTTAATAAATCATTATTTAGAAAAAATAATCATCCCAAGGTCAGAAATGAAAGTTTGTCAACAATTGTACAAACCAATGATGAAGATTATATCCCTTTACAATGAATACAATGAGCTAATTGAAAAAAGTGAACGAAATGGATTTCTGCCAATGAATTCATCATCAGATGAACAGATTGAAATGGGTTCTAGTCCATTGTTAGAAGTCGATCACGACGATACAGTTACCAAGGAAAGGTTACAGAAGGCACAAAAGTTACTATGGCAAGCTCGTCAAGATATTCCAAAGACTATTAGTAAAGAGTTAACCCTTTTATCCGAGATGTATTCTACATTGTCTGCAGATGAACAAGATTTTGAACTTGATGAATTTGTTGGATGCGCAGAAGAATATATCGAGTTAGAGTTTTTACCGGGCCTAATTGATTTATTGTTCATGAATTGTGGCTCAAATAAGTTTTGGAAAATTATGATTGTCTTAGAACCTTTCTTCTACTATATTGAAGATGTGGAAGATGATGATTATGAAGACGAATCTCAAAATATAGATGAAGTTATGTATGATGATGCAAGACAACCATTTAAACCTGATCCGAGAGTTATCACTTTAGAGAAGATTTGTGAAGTAGCCGCAAGGCAGAAATGGATATGATTGACTGTTTTTAAATTATCACATACTTTCCAATGAAATCCATAAATAAATATGCCTTATATAAGTAAATTAGTTTTTAATGGTATTTGAAATTTATATTTATTTTTTTAAACTGAATGCTATACATATGAACATATTGATACGCGCATACACACACATATATAGCTGTATATAAGGTAATAATCTAATACAAACAAAACGTAATTGACTGTATAATCGTAATAATTTAGTTAGGTTAATTAATCTGACTTTCTTTGGTATGTGGGTAGTTCTTCATATTTATGATTCTTCATGTTCTTAAATCTACTCATTTCTGAGATTTTACCAATAACACGATGCTTCTTTTTTAATGCTTTGTTAGTGACATCAGAAAATTCTCTGTTACCTTTGTTAATTCTCAAAAAGACGTACATGCAAAACAAAGCAACTGCAACGGCAGCTGGCATTGATAGAGCAATGTAATACCATTTGGTACCAGTCAAACCAGCATTTTCTAAAGCAATTTGTTCTTTGGAATGTTTGTAGACTCTACTTTGCAATAAAATGTAAACAAAGATACCATATTCCAATGGATCGAAGTCTTCATCAGAAATATAATCAGGTTGAACAGAGATAACAAATTTCTTTTCATGTTCACCTTCCAACCAAGCATCTTCTGGAGTAATTGGGTAGATACCTTCAAGATTTTTCAACCAGTCGGAACTATGTACGACGTCATTAGTGGATCTTTTGTTATGGTAACCCTTTTCTTTAGCTTCCATTGGCACTTCCATCAAATGAACACGAACCTTCTCAGCGAATTTACCAGTATCTTCATTCTTGAAGAATCTAGTAAACCAAGAAACGAAGTAAGTTCTCCCAACACGCCATTCAGTTGCTTCACGTGGAGTACAGAAAGGTTCACTCTTAATATTTTTGGCAAGACCCTTTTCAGAATAACGATCCGGAGCACATCTAATTATTGGATTCAACTTTAAATAAGTATCATCTTCTGGGATAAACTCTTCTTCTTCATGAACATCATTTGGATCCATATTATGAGCCTCCAATTCTTCAAAAGAGAAAGTATGAGTTTTGACATCCATAAAATAAGTAGAATAAGTAGGAGATGCCTTTTTGGTGATACCATTCTTCAACTGAGGCTTAATAGTAACTGGAATACCATCATTCTTTAGAGAAACCCATGGTTGCAACGGATTTGGTGGATTTGGTGGTTTTGCAGAAAATGTTACACCTGCAATAATAGTAGGTGTAACAATTTCTTTAACACCTGAATAGATTGTACGAACCCAAGGTTTTGGAGTTTCTGTAGTAGTCAATTTCTCCTTTGGTTCAATGACTGGCTTATAAGCTACAACAAAGTCATTTATTAGCAAACCTAACAAAATCGCAAATAGCGTAGTCCTCATCTCTTGATTCCTTACTTAATAAAGTCAATAAATAATTAAAAAGAACACAACAAAAAACACAACACCTGGTTTAAAATATCTATAAAGTACAATTGACCTCTTATATATCCTATAATCACAACTTCTACCAAAGTTATAATCAAATTCAATATATATTACTTCTCCTATTGTTATATATTATAAGAGAGTTATTTTATTTCTGATTTCATCAGTACTTTTTTTTTCAATATTTTTCATGATGGGTGAAAAATTATTCAACAGATCAAGAAGACAGAGAAGAGAAGAGAGACATATGAGAACAGAACTGAAAAGAAACCATTTTGAACAAGAACAATGGTTGATTATGTTGGGAAATCAGTGTTGAATTAGGCTATTGTAAGGTTTAATTGTTGTTGATGATAATACATGGAGATTGAGGTTGAGAATGAGACCTTGAAGTTGGTCAGGAACAATTTGGTTCATAATTTATTATGGAAGGAAGTTGAAATTTGTGATGAAACAATTAGTTTTGAAGGTGAAGTTTTACAATTGATAGTAGGAAGACCTGTTCATGATGGCGAAGATATTCATGAGACAAAGGTTGGTAAAGAATATGTTTTACCTGTAGAGATGTCACAGTATCAAGATGGCTATCTTACTTTGGAGTGCATCGATCAGGTATTTAGTAAGTTATGTCCTTCTGAAGTAGAAAGAATAATACTAGCAATTGCCAATGATGATGGAACTGTTGTGTTTTATTATATATACAAAGGTTTGCATAAACCTAGGAAAAACAACTGACCACTGTGTGTGTCCAGTGATGTACTTTTCCCCATTATCTATTTTGTAACGTTGTTTACTTAAATGTAATATTTACTGAAATTATATAGGGTCATGATAATATTGCCTTGTTCGTTGAAATTTGGATCTCTTATAGTGACTTTGTAATTAGATTTAGTACTCACCAGACTAATCTTGTCATTTAACATGTCAATATAACTCTCGCCTAATGATTTAGTAATATGCGTTTTAATATTATTACCAGTCGGCAAGTTAAATAGTATATACATGTTTGCCCAAAATAGTAAATCTGAAGTTATTTCAATTTCAGTATTTAGGTTCCCTCTTACTGTATCCCACATTTTTAATAATTCTACCAAACGATTGTTAAATTGAAGATTATATCCAATTGCCTTTAATTCTTCCCTTTTACGTTGTTTTAACTTGTTTTTAATCTTAAATGTTTTAGATTGTGCCATATCAGCTGCAACATCTTCAAGATCATCTTTTTCATCTAAATAATCCTTATCGTCACTATGTGGCAAATAACCTATTACATTTTCGAAATTAGATCGTACTTCAGATCTTTTCAATGATGGAGTGTAATTCCACATTGGCCAATACATTAGTTTTGGGAATTGTTTCCTAGTAAAAGAGTCATAGTTCTTTTTATCCAAATATAATTGATAATCCACCAATATATTTATTTTATTCTCCAAAAACGCAAACAATGCGGTTTCTAACAAAGATTCACCCTCATCACCGTTCTTGCCATCAGTACTATTTAGTTTAATTAAATAATTAGTGATATTGGCAAACCCAAAAACTTCTAATTCATCTTGTATTAAAATTGGTAATTTCCCAGTAGCAGACATTCCAACGTTGTTCGAGAACACAATTTCAATATCATTTAGAGTTTCATCGTTAAGTTTAGTATTTAAAAACCAAAATAGTGCAATACTTTCTGGTGAAATCAGACTAGGTACATTATCATAACCCCATAGATGTATTGTTCTTTTAACTGCCATATTTGATCTTTCTTTAGCAATGACAATGTGTAAAAATCAGGGAACACTAGGGATACACTAAACTATTACAGATCTATAGTGATTCATTTTTCAATTGACGTTCTTGTATCTGTCAATTTAAGTTAGAAGTTTACTGTTATATAGTCGATGGTTGGTTATGATGAGAGATGCCTTGCAAAGTTAAAAGTTGGATTGATACATAACCTGAATACACTACGTATATAGTGATAATATATCAATATGTATCAAGTAGTGTAACATTGACTGATATATGAAGAGAACAGGTAACAACAAGAACATCTAAATATTCTTGTATCGAGGATCGTGACTATTATTACAAGTCAAGTGTTATTAATGTCTGTTAACCTGTTCTCTTAGATATACAGGAAGATCGGTTACCTTTGCAGACATAGTCAAATCAAACATTTGGATAGGATTAGATATTGAACTGACTATAAACAAAGATGCATATCCAACAATCCAATTTTATGAAACGTGGCTAATACCTTTGCATAGGGATATCTCTTTGCAAGTTCAAATCTTCTTGTTGGGATTACTGGCGTTGTATTTACTGACACCGTTGTTAGTTGTGGAGGGAAATAATCTCGCTATCAAATACTATCCTGTGTCAAATACCAGGTTAAACCAAAGCACAACAAACTACACAAATAGATCTGTAACTGTAAATACAGCTTTTAAATTATCATTATTTTAATCGCCGTTACTAGGTTTTAATAATAACCATCAGTCAAAAAATGAAAGTAACCTTTCGGGTATCTCTCACTAGTAAGTTCTTCCTCAAGAGAACTCTGTAATGTACAAGGTGGTGCTGCAACGGCCTTTACTATTACCATTAAATAAGTATATTAATCCAATAGAAACATAACAGTTGCTATCGAAAGAATGAAAATCCATTGACAGATATTACTGACATTCTGACATTTGACCAGTTGGCACCAATTAATTATTGTCTCCCTCTTCTATTACTGGTGAGGCCAGATGTCACGTGTTTATATTTATCATTCTGTACGCCATACATAATTCTGTTTAGTATGGGAAATTTTTCATTTTAACCCAACAAGAAACATTTAAGTTTAAAGAACAATACTAAAAGGTTAAGACTAATTGAAGACGTTTTATGTATTGAACTGGTAGTTGAAAGTGGATTAGAAGGTCTAAAGAATTGCCACTTAGGTTTTGAAGTTGTGTTGGTAATATCTGTGTGGAAATTGGGTGTTCTTATTCACTGTGGATCGAATTTTGGAAGTATATTTAATAATCAGTAACAGTGATTTTTAAGAACAGTCAAAAGGCAATAGTATATTGGGTTACCTTTATCAATCGTACTGAGTTCTTTTTTTTCATTTTGCAAATTGTTAAACGAATTGTTTGATTTTGTTCTATTTTTGATACTCATCATTTCTATTTATTATTGCATCCTTCTTTGAATCGTATAGTTCGAAAGAGCATAATAAGATACAAAGGCAAAAAGTACAGGCAAAAGCACAGATAAAATAAAAACAAAAACAATATATATAAATAAGTGAAAGTGAAGACAGAATTGAAAACCATACTAAAATATGTCAGATTCCAATAACATTGACAAAGACGAAATTGTTTTATTGAAGCAAAGGATCCAAGATCATCCCGTTGATATTTTGGGTTACTTAGAATTGATAAAGGTTTTAGAGAAAAGTGACAATTTTGCAGAAAGTAGAGAAGTGTATGATCAATTGCATAAAAGATTCCCATTTTATTCCCCTTTATGGACCATTCAATTGAAAAATGAATTACAAAGAGATGAATTCGAAACTGTTGAAAAATTATTAGCACAATGTCTTTCCGGTGATTTAGAAAATAATGATTTGGCTCTTTGGTCTACTTATTTAGATTATGTAAGAAGAAAGAACAATATTATTACTGGTGGCCAAGAGGCTCGTGCTATTGTAATTAAAGCTTTTGATTTAGTCTTAGAAAAATGTGCCACTTTTGAGCCACGCTCTTCTCAATTTTGGAATGATTACCTTGGCTTTTTAGAAACTTGGAAACCTGTTAATAAATGGGAAGAACAACAACGTATAGATTTGATTAGATCTCTGTATAAAAAAATGTTATGTGTACCATTTGATAACCTTGAAAAAATGTGGAGTAGATATACACAATGGGAACAAGATACTAATAATTTAACAGCAAGAAAATTCATTGGTGAAATATCCTCTGAATATATGAAAGCCCGTTCCTGTTATCAAGAATGGTTGAATTTAACTTCAAATTTAAGAAGAGTATCACCAAATTCATTAAATAGTGCAAATAAAAAAAATATTCCACAATATGATAATGAAAGTATTGCTTTTGATCAATTAAAAATTTGGCGAAATTGGATTAAATGGGAAAAGGAAAATAAATTATTACTATCTGATGATTTATTAAGGAAAAGAATATTATATATTTATAGACAAGGTATCCAAAATTTACTATTCGTTCCAGAGATTTGGTATCAATATTCAATGTATGATAATGAAATTTTACAACGTCAACAAATTTTATCCATTGCAGTATTAGCAAATCCAAATTCTGCAACATTGACTTTTAAATTAGCAGAGTGTTTTGAATCAAATAATAATAATGAAAAAGTACAGGAAACTTTTGAAAATTGCACTAAATGCTTAATCAATGACTACAATAAAATTTTAGAAGAATGTGCAAATGATAATGATCACCCTACTGTTTATAGAGTAAGGCATGAATTAACTTTTGTTTATTGTATTTATATGAATACAATGAAGAGATTATCAGGTTTATCTGCTGCAAGAGTAGTATTTGGTAAATGCCGTAAATGGAAAGGAATACTGACACACATTATATACATTGAGAATGCATATTTAGAATTCCAAAATCAATTCGATTATAAAACTGCATTTAAGGTTCTAGAATTGGGTTTAAAGTTTTTCCAAAATGATGGCAAGTATATTAATAAATACTTGGATTTCTTAATTCTATTAAATAGAGATTCACAGATAAAAACTTTATTTGAATCATCAGTTGAAAAAGTAAATGACTTGACTCAATTGAAATCCATATTTAAAAAAATGATAGCGTATGAATCAAAATTTGGTAATCTAGGAAATGTTTATGCATTAGAAGAAAGATATTTCAAGAAATTTCCTAACGAAAAGTTAATCGAAACATTTACAGAAAGATATACCATTCAAAATGAGAACGTATTAAAAAAATTGGAACTCACATACTTACAACAAGAAAATAGGTTCAATAACGAGCATGAATTGGATACTTCTCAATTTAATCCAATGAAGAGGTCATTGGAAAATGATCAAAATGATAATCATGAAAAGAAGATGAAATCCAATCCTTCAATTCCACCTGAAATATTCGATTTGTTAACAGTATTGCCAAAACGCCAATATTTCAAGACAGCATTACTAGATCCCCATAAATTCATAAATTATTTGAATGATCAAGTTGAACTTCCATCAAGTTCAGATAAAGTTTAAACTCGTATTTAATTTTTTATATAATCTATAAATAAAGAATGTACTATTAATTACCAAACAAACACTCAATAAAAACACAATTTATCTCTGAAACCTCTTCAAAAGGCATTTGAATAATCCATCTAAGGTTCTTAATATGCCATTGTTAAGTTGAAACAAATTTGTAACAGGGTTAAAACCAAGGGAAAAAATAGAATAGCATAAAGGATATATATCATTTACATAAAAAATCTATAAAAGCCATATTATATCTATCAGCAATACTTAGATTCTTTAAATATTGTTTCTTATATATATGAGAAATGCTTAAATAGGTCATTATTCAATCGATGCCATTGAATCTGTCATTAAGAGGCTAGATTAAGTATTAAAAAAGACACGTAGGTGTATAGTAAATAATTGTAGCAGAAGAATCGGAGTTTAAGTGACAGTTAATCTCATTAATGCCAAAATAACTTTATGTGGTATGGTATGAAACTTATATTGATATTTTTCCTCCTCATTCAAAAGTGTTTCTGCCAACATGAACTTAGCGACAAGCTGAATCAAAGGTGGTCTTTAATAACCAATCCAATAAATATTGATGATACTAGTATTGAGAATACTTTCCCTTTTATACAGCAAAGCTGTGCCAAAGATGCACTTGAAAAGTTTATGCCTATTTGTCTTAAAGATGGAGCAGAGGCAATAACTTCTGAATTAAGAGTTGAAACAGCTGTTAAATTGTCATTATGTGAATTTAAGGCGTCAGGAATAGAAAGTATCCCAATCGAATGCAAAAATGCAACACCCGATACAATGTTGAGTTGTTTAATTCAACTAGAATCATATCCACAATGGTGGACAACGTATAGTGGAAATTTCCAACGACTAACTTCAGTTTGCTATGAGAATTCCTTACCTTACGAGAAAGAACAAATATTGAATTTATTTTTAAACGTCACTGATATGTATAGTGACATAAATGTTTCTTTAGAAAAGTATATTAAAGATACTTTATCTTCAGTGGAATCAGACACTTCAAAATTCATGTCTGAATTCTCTGAACGGTTATACAATTTACAAGATCTTATGGATGATATAATGAACGAGATTCATAACAATAACATTTCAGATAAGGTTAAAGAAGCACAGGAAGAAAACCTTAAACAATGGGAAGTTGTTGAGAAGCAGGCGTCTGATAGTATGGATATATATCTTCAATATCAGAATGAAATGTTCCTTGATATGCACAGATTTTTTGATGAGCTTAAGGTAAATATTAAAGTTTTATCTAATGAGATAACTATAGCAGCCGTAGAGAACAGCTTGGAAACATGGAATGGTTTAGTAAGTAATAGCTTCGAAAACATTACCGACAGAATTAATAAAACAATAGTTAATCTTGATGTAATCGAAAATAAAATTTCGAGATTGAATTATAGCATGAATGTGATTGTTCGAATTTTCGAAAGTACTATATATCTGCTTAAAACTGCACCAATGCTATTGATGACACGATACAGTTGGCTTTCTACATCAGTTGCAATACTAATTTTAAAATATTTCTTTAAATTAAACACTGGATTTACAAGAAACTTTATTAAAGGTCCCATATTTATCAATTGGTTCAGCGTGGTGACAGCAATTACATTGGGTAGAATAGTAGGGACTATTTTGGTTAAAAAATATAATTCTTCTTAATTTTTACTATTACGTAAATATATTAAATTGAAATAACTACAAAATGTTACAGTTCTGGAATCTTTTTCTTTCTTTGAGCTACCTTAAGTACCCTTAAATTAACTCCGTCTACAGAATCTGGCACTTGGATAGTGGTTGATGAATCTGCAGAAGCAATGCTACTACCAGAAACCTTTCTTGTTCCCCATATCTTTTCCCTGCTTCCAAATAGCCAATTTGATTTCATGGAACCAGCATCTTTACTCATACGAACAAGCGTGCTATCAGTCAAAGCTGTTGAAGAAGTTTTGCTAGAAACATGCTTTGTTGGTGTATTAAAGCTTGAATTTGGTGTCAAGCTAGAATACTGCCCCATATTTTCATTATCAATTCCAATTTCAAAGTTAGAATTTCCTACCAAAAGAGATTTCATTTGTAATTCTAATTCTGTAACTCTGTCTAACAAATGTTGATTCATTGTCTCTGTAGAAGCTATTCTTGCTTTATATTCGGATTCTCTTCGCCTTAGAATCAATATTTCTTTCATTTTGTCATCTAAGGATAACTCTAAGGAGGCGTTATGTTCACATTTTTCTAATAATTTTGTTAAGATCTCAGTATTTTCATTCTGGTTTCTTAAATCCACTTGTGATCTATTGTTAGGATTATTCAGAAGTTCTGTCAAAGTTTCCACTTGAGACTTTAAAATATTGGTTTCTTTTTTATTATATTTTGTTTCATTATTTTTCAGTTCATCCTCTAGGCTGTTTGCTTGAGTCATTAAGTTATTTACTTGGTTTGTTAAGTTGTTAGTGATTGAAATGAAATTGTCTTCTTTCAATTTCATGTCAGTGAGAAAAATATCCATTGTAGCCTTTGAATTAAGACCAAACCTATTTATTCTTGGATTTGTATTTGCTGATTTACAATTGTAACCGAACTTTAATGTTGATAAAGTTTCATTCCAGTCATTTTTTTTTAGTGAAGATGTTAATAAAAAAGTGGTTTTACAATTTCCACCCAGTGGATCTAGTAATAACCTTGTCAGTATGGATGATTTGTAAGGAACTTTATGCATCAAAGTTGAGATATCTGTCATTATACCTCCTTCTCTATTCATTACCACTAATCCATTAATTACATCATTTACTGATTTGATTTGATGATTAATTTTTTTTGCATCTTCTGTTGTTATCCCACTTGAGCTATTTTTACCTATAGGATCAGAGCCAGCTAAATCCACTATATACAATGAACTCATGGTTATAGATTCGTCCAATTTATTTCTCTTCTCTATACTAACTTCCATGATTGTGTGTGACCTCTGTATTAAATTATTATGCCTTTCCTTTTGATTCAGCAGACATATATTTATCAATATCTTCAATTCCTCTAAGGTCAGAACTTGAGTTGTTCGAAGATTCTCTACTTGAAATCCATTCATTGCATATGTAGAATCATTTATTTTTAAATGCTTTTTAACAGAAGGACTGTCCATTAAATCAAACATTTTTTCCTGATAGACCTCTAGAAATGAGAATTTTACAGTATAATGTATATTCTTATTATTATTCCCCATTTCTTCATCAATTCTATTAAATAATTTCGTTAATAATTGAAATATAAGTCCATCCTGTTGTTCACCGTATAGTTCAAACGACTTCCCAGTACCAGATTGTCCATAAGTCACAATAGAAGTATTATAGCCTTGTAATAAACTTTCCAAATTAGATTCAATGAATTCTTGATGTTCCACACCAGTATCATTACTTGCAAACACTTTATCGAACTTATATTGAGTATTAACTACCTGATCCTTGGAAAAGCCAGTCAACTGGGTATCTGTAAAGTTTATCGAATTGCCTTCCCTTATCTTAAAGGATACATTGGAATTAGAAGAAGGTCCTCTAAATAGCTTCAAATATACCCTCATAGGTTGAGGTTCATCGTAACCAGTATATTTTACTAACAAATCGGGTATAGATTCATTCTTCGAGCTAGAGTACCACATATTAAGCAGCACTGATATTTTTATATATTATCGAAAATCTATAAAAGGAGGAAGTTAAAATGGAAAATAAAAGCAACCAATTAACCAATGAAACCCTGATATTCTACCATATAACTCTTCTAGAACACAATGCCAACGTTTACCATCTAATTTACTTCTTGAATGTAATTCAATACCTTTTTCTATTCAAATATTTTAATTATTAAACCTTCAAAATTTATTCACTATGCGGTATGTTAAGCTGAAGAATTCAAGAAGTGCCAACGACATGAATGAAGTGACAGATGTTTTTATTTTATGAGACGTGATATATACCATCATTATACTATATGATCTGATATGTTATGTATATGTGTATGTATTTTATATTTATTCTATTGTATTATATTTTATTATATTCCTTTGAATTTCAAGATATTCATTTTATTGTGAGTTGGAAGGATTGATGGATGAGTAGAAGCAGTGGGAAAGACAGAAAGACAGACAATGAAGCCTATATGTGATTGTAATTATTTAGAGAGAAAATACCCTGTGAATTACTTGCTTTTCTTTATTTTATTTTGTTATGTTTTGTTTCGTTTTATTTGAGTATCATAGGGATACAGTGTAGATTACAAATGGTTCGTAGTCGTTATCCACCAGAGTTGAATATTGATTTAATGAGTTGTCTTGTCTGTTTATCTTTCCCTTTTTATCCTTTGCAAAAGCATTACCAGCCAAGTATTGGAAATTTTCAATTAGTTCATGTTTAGATTTGGATAACATCTTTGGTGGAGTTGCAATTATTTTTATGTTGAAATGAGAAGGCAGACCATAACGTAATACAGATTCAACGAATACACGTAAAGCTTTAATATGGAACCAATTGATGAATAAATCAGCATAGGCAGTTTTAGCTAATCTTACCAATTGGATTTTCAAAGAATGTTCTAAACTTGCAGCAGAATCGTGTTCTTTCTTCAAATTGTCTATCAATTCTTCAGAATAGTTAAATTCACGAGGAATATATTTTCTTTCTCTTGCAGCAGAATTAAATTTGGCAACTGATTTTTTGAATAAATGAACATTATACAAGATATATTCAGCGTCTTCTGAAATGATGCTTGCTGATTCTGGAACAATTTTTTCAGTCAAAGTTTCATAGTGTTTTTCGAAATCAGATTTTAATGATTTTGGAACTGCAATTAAAACAGTGGTTAAATACTCTGAATTTAGAATGAAATCTTCAGGTTTTACAATGTCATGAAGAGATCTCACGGAAAGATCACCAGTTTTTCTTCTTTCAGCAGTGGCTAGATTTGTCTTTGCATTGTTATAGTTTGCCGCAGTTGCCTTTACATCATTATCTAATTGAGTTGATTCATTAGAAATCAAACTATTCAATTCTTTAATAGATTTATCTAACTTGAATTTTCTATTATCCCACTGGAAATTGTTTAGGTATTCAGGGATTGCCATGTTATTAATTGAAATTGTTTTGTAGGAATTTTTTGTTGCTTCATTAAATGATGAGATGATTTCAGTAACTTTTTTGATTGAATTTTCTATAATCTCATCATTTTTACTCAATTCTTCAGAATCGAGAATTAAATCGTCCAATGAACCAATTTTGAATTCAGGAATATTGAAATCAGAAACATAACACTTGCCATCTACTAAAGAATCCTTTAACCATAGATCAGTCTCTATGGAACTATCAGTGGAAGGTTTTGCATTTAATGGTAAAGACAATAAAATAAATTCATCAGAAGAGTAAAGAGAAGTCATTGTTAAAATATTTTGTATATTCTTCTTTGTATCAAAATTGGATATAAAGCAATTCAATTAATTAATTAATTAATTCGTTAACTAGTTAATTAGCTGATCTATCAAGTAATCTTGTAAAGAGTAAAGGTTGTAAAATAAGGGAAAATTTTTTTTTAATTTAATTTTTTACCTTTGAGTATAGACCTTTTAATATTCAGTGAGATACAAACACATTCAACTACACTCTGAACCACTAGATATATTAAATAAGAAACCGTACCAATATAAATTAGCAATTGAAGTTATCCAGTTGCTAATCTAATTGTGTATAGTTAAAGGATTTTAAATGTATAGATTGTTAGTTGTCTGATTCTTAATATCTTTTTCAATACAATACAACAGTTCGTACTGCAACAAACGGGAAGAATTATTGAATAAGCAGCGTCGTTCAACATGACAGCTGCAAATTGTGAGGGTTTTCACCATTTCCGAACTGAAACAAGAAACGTGAATCACAACTTGTGTCACGTGAAATAAACGTGACACATTTACCCGGAAATAACACGTGATGTATCTGAACATGTGACCACTTCCAATTACCCGGACCCACCTCTCTTCAAAGTTTTTTTTCTTCTTCTTCCCATCAGAAATATCATATTTGACGACTGATTCGTACGTAGCATAGAGATTGATATAGATATGTAGTAATTATAATACATATTTATATATATAATTAAAATAGATATATTAAGGTGGCAAACAGGTAAAAGATGTGATTTATTTGATTTATATTCCCAATTGAAGTACAAGAAAAGAGTAATATACAACCACAGGTAATATCAAGGGTTAGTAATTATTGACTAGTCGTCTCTCAGCTAAATTTTGTTTTTTTATCAGGTTTAGTTTTCCTTTCTTTGGTGAAATAAAAGATATATATAATATAGTAGACACGGGAATATGTCAAGAGACGCTCCAATTAAGGCTGAAAAGGATTATACTTCTATCCTAGAAGAAGAGTTACCAAAGATTGACGTCTTGGCTCAAAATGGTGATACTGTTATGGCCGTTGATGCTTTGCTGGTGCTCGAAAAGAAAACTAGACAAGCTGCTGATTTGGCCTCTTTAAAACAAGTATTAGCCAAGATTGTCGATGTCCTATTTGATAAGCAAAAGTACGATGAGGTTTGTGAGCAATTGGTTTTATTGTCCAAGAAACATGGTCAATTAAAACTGGCTATTCAATATATGGTTCAACAGATGATGGAAAATATGAAATCTCAAGAAAAGGAGAAGAAACTATCATTAGACAATAAGATTAAAGTCATCGATACTATTAGAACAGTAACGGAAAATAAAATTTTTGTGGAGGTTGAAAGAGCAAAAGTCACTAGAGAGCTGGCTCATATTCGTAAAGATCAAGGGAAGATCGATGAAGCTTGTGATATTCTTTGTGAATTGCAAGTTGAAACTTTTGGTTCAATGGAAATGTCTGAAAAAATTGAATTTATTTTGGAACAAATGGAATTATGTATATTAAAAGGTGACTATTCTCAAGCCATAGTTTGTTCAAGAAAAATCTTGAAAAAAACTTTTAATAATGTAAAATACGAACATTTGAAAATTCAATATTATGAATTATTGGTTAAAGTAGGCTTATACAAAAGAGAATATTTACAAGTAGCTCAATACTTCCAAGAGATTTATCTAACTGATTCTATTAAAAAAGATGACACTAAATGGAAACCAGCTTTATCTCACATGGTATATTTCTTAATATTATCTCCATACGGTAATTTACAGAATGATTTAATTCATAAATTACAATTAGATAATAATTTGAAAAAATTAGAGACTCAAGAATCTTTAGTCAAATTATTTGCAACTCAAGAATTAATGAGGTGGCCAATTGTAAAGGAAACTTATGAACCTGTACTTAATAAAGATGATATCGCATTCGGTGGTGAACAAAATAAACATCATTGGGAAGAACTTCGTAAAAGGATTACCGAACATAATTTAAGGGTGTTATCTAAATATTATTCAAGAATGACATTGCCAAGATTGAACGAGCTATTAGATCTAACTGAAGCCGAATCAGAATCATTCATAAGTGATTTAGTTAATCAAGGTATTATCTATGCAAAGATTAATAGACCTGCCAAGATTGTCAATTTTGAAAAACCTAAAAACTCTTCAGAATTATTGAACGAATGGTCTCATAACGTAGATCAACTATTGGAGCATATAGAAACAATCGGTCATTTAATAACAAAGGAGGAAATCATACATGGTTTAAAAGCTAAATGAAACTTATATTAATTATATCTGATTAATCAATTAAAAATAAACTACTACATATTTTCCTCATATAAATAAATTTTGTAGTTTAAGAAATTATCAATGAATTTAAAGATGTATATATTATTATTTATGTATGCTAATGGATGTGGATGTGTGTCATCTTTGTCTATTACGTTTTTGCTTTGCACTTTCAACTAAACTATCCCATCTTTCTCGTAGTTTTACTATTTGATTTGACAATTTCTTATTCTCTGCTAAAGCCTGCTCCATTCTTAATTGGAACTCTTTACATTTCTGTTGTTCATAAATGCGTAATTCTTTTTTAAATTGTGACATTTGTTCACTAATTTTCAATGATACGTCCTGTACATTGTGGTTTACCTTCTTGTCGTTGTTATTGCTACTGTTACTACCAGATTTTAAGGTATCCATCAGTGACAATTCCAAGTTATGTTGGAATTTATTAAGCATTGAATTTAGAAATGGATCTAAATTGGCACCACAATTATTATTATTCCATAAAGACTCTGCTGGATTAGTCGAAGAATTATTATTCAATATAACTGAACTCATCATGGGTAAATTCCTACTAGCTTTTAAACCATTTGAACTAGATTTTAGCGTAATCAAAGTATCCAACTCCCTAACCCTTAGATTTATATCAGACTTTAGCATTTCTAATGCTTGAAATCACCTCAGGACTAATATCATCTTGAATCATATCACTACGTTTTTCAACTAGCTTTTCATTAGCTTTCATATAAGTACCCTTTGCATCTTTCAAATGACCCTTCAAGATGAGCTTTTCAGCTTCATCAATCAATCCATAAACTTCAATTAACTCCGACATTACAACAACAAATCATTACACACATACAGAAGCTCATCATCATCACCATCACTATCATTATCATCACCATTAACAACAATAACTATATCATCAATATATATAAATCACTAAAGGTTAAAAGTATTGAAACGACATCAAAAAAATCCTTTAAATAAATACATCAAAAAATCCTTTCTACAATAAAGAAACAAGGAGATAATTGATAACAAAATAATAAGGCAATTTGGGATTGTAGGACAATATAGAACAAAGTAAAGTAAGACTAAGATTATCAATTGTTGTTAAGGGGAAGTCAATCAATGAATTTCCAGCAAGAATCAATCTATGATGCTGGTCAACCATATACAACATGTTGTGATGATAACGAAAAATATGAACTTGATAATGGTTTAAATTTAAGTTGTATTGAATTTTGGGATAAACTAGAAGCTATAATAACTTTAGAAGAGGGTGATGATGCCAATAATGAAACGTTGATCAATTCAAAGTTGGTTAACTATGTTAAATTTGCAACGGATTCTTATAGAACTTTTATCAAGGCAGATCGTGATCTTTATAGAATGGCATTAATATTGACAGAATCGAAATGCTTTAAGGATAATAAAGAATTTTGTTTAAGTAAGTTATTATCATTATTGAATATTGATCTGTTGGAGATGAATATGAAATTTTTGATTGCATACATTTTATTATGGGAGTCTAAGAGTAATCTAAGTTCAATTGAGTTGATCTTAAAATATCAAGGGTTTTCTGTATTCTACAATACATTGTATACACAATTTGCATATTTAAATAAATATGGCCAAACGATACAAAGAGATGATGATATAGAATTGAATATTATTAATGAAATGAAAGAAATTTCAATTTTTTTATTGGATATTTTCTTCCAAATTCTAAAATATTCCAAATTTAAAATATCAAATTTAACTATTATTGATGATTTCTTCATTCACTATCTAATTTGTTCAATTCAACCAGATGATTTATCTGACTTATTCAATGTTGCCAAATTTAAGTTTTTATTAGCCTTGAATGAACAATATATGATTATAACCAAAAAAAAATATGATAATGATAACAACAGTAATAATAATCAAAATATTGAAAATAAAATTTACAAATATTTGATTGATTATTCAAGTTCAAAGAATTTCACAGAATTCTTATTGTTGAAATTTAATAGAGAAGATGATAGATCTTTGTTGATTATGATGTGTAAAGTTTTGTATCTGATTTTAACATCAACTCAAAATGATATTGCTCAAAACTATTTCTACTTAAATGATCTAAACGTTTTTGTAGATGTTTTGATAAGAGAATTACAGAATATTTCAGAATCTGATGAATTGTTAAGAAACACTTTATTAAGAGTGCTATTACCTTTATTAACTAACACTGAAATTTCAAAAACTCATTATAGAAAAGATGATTTAATTAAGTTACTAGAATTTTTATCTTCAATTGATAATATTTGTGGTAGTGAAAACATCACTCGTGAGCATGAAACTACCGTCAGATTAGCAAATAGATGCCTAAGGAAAGTAGCTTGGTTGGATTATTATTTAAATGATTCTAATAATCCTTCAGATTCAGATAGCCTATTAAGTAAAAAATCTTTGCCAATTACAACACAGTTACAATCATCCACAAGAACATCTTCTTCACCTTCTTCTTTTTCAAAGGAAAAGATTATGAATTCAATCTATATTAGCTCTGAGAATAGTTCAACTGATTCCTTTGAAAGAAGAAAGGCAAAACCATTGCCTCCACCACCACCACCTAAACCTAGAGGTATATCTAGGATCAATTCTAACAAATAGAATTTGATTTCACCTTTCATTAATGACATTAAATAAAAATAACCTAAAAAATGATTAATCTTCGGTAAAGAAAACTTTCATTAAAAATCATACAATTAAAAAAGTATGCATGCATTAAACAACAATTGATTAAGTATAGTCCAAATTTATTCTTTTAAGTGTTTTACCTTATACTATTAAATCATAAATTGGACATATAAAATTGAAACTATTCCAACGTATTAATCGTCTGGATTTGAAATCCATATATAAATAACTCGATGGTATATATTCAAGCAATTGAATAAATTATCCATAGAATCCTATGATATTTATTGTTAATAATATTACATATTATTTAACATCTAATTCAATTGATTTGAAATTAACTTTAAGAATAGTGATGGAGTGGGTATAATAAACAATATATGCCTCATAGTTTTAAATCAATGGATTACTTCTCTACTTCAATAAAAATCCTGGGTAATACTGAATATGTGAAGATATATTTTGGAATTATTGCAAATAAATTATCTAAAATTCATTATTAAATATATAATATATTGTCTAATTCTTGAGAGTGGATTCCTATGATACAATAATGAAAGACCAAGTGATCTCTCATCAAGGTCTTCATCGCCATCTTCATCATCATAAATAGATGAAGGTAAAATGCTTGGTGTCGTTGTAGATTTTGGATGGCGTAAGAAATGTCTTCTTCTTTTAGTAGTTATTATTATTGATTCATTAGAGGTGAAATCTGCAGAACTTACAAATGATTCTAAAAAGTACTCTGTTGTTGTTTCAGTTTTTACCTCATTTGTTGGTTGGACACTTAATTGAACTTTTTCCTCTTGTGTCGTTTTAATGGTAGGATAGTGTGTTTGAGTTTGGACATTATCAGTAATGGTAATATTTTGGAATGAAATATTGTCATATGTTGATGAACTCTTTGTTTCAGATATTGGATCAATTCTATCACCTATCTTTAGTGTCGATTTTATCATTTTTTTATCTTTTAATATACTATTCTTAGTTAGATGTTTTGCGACATCAGTTTTGGTAGCTCTTGGATGTTTTATTTTGGTATTTGTTTTAATTTCAGAATTTGGATTTAATGGTTGACTACTATTGCCTGTTTTCTGGTTTCTATTACTTGGAAACTCATGTGGGATTTGTTCATGGATCTGATAATTTGATATGTGCGGAACAATATCACATTTTGTAATCAATGAACTCTCATCAAAAGAGTTTAGCTTTTTTCCCTTATATGCATATGATACTTTTGTATAATCTGGATGGCCAGATTTACCTTTCTTTGATTTTGATCCCAAACATTTTTCAATTTGTGGAACGAACTTATTGAAATGAGGTATCACTAAAAGATTACTTACTACAGTATGAAATTGACCATTGTTTGACATATCTGGGGAATTTTCCCAATCAATAAAACCACCAGCCCATGAAATAGTTCCTAAGGAATTTTCTTCTGAACCACCTGGCCATATAGCTACCTCAAATATCATTGGTGTCTGTGGATATTTATATTTCTTATCAATTGGATCCCAAGTATCTCTTTTATAAAGAGTTCTAACAATTTTATTATCTATTACCCAATTAATTCTTTCAGAGTCCCAATCAATATCATAAGTGTGGTAATTTTGATTGGTGTCTGTTTGGATATGATGTGTTTGCATTTTTGAATAAATCAATTCACCTTGAGAATAATAATTGGTTTGCACCGAATTCAATTCGCTACCTAAAAATTCAAAATCTATTTCATCACCAGTAGCAGACATCAACACAACAGCAGTGATCACACCTCTAGACCTTGCAGTCTTCAATCTTGCTGACACTTTACCATATTGTATAGCCTTTGATGCTTTTAAGCTTGAACCAGTTGAATATTTTGGCATACCAAGCACTAATTCACCTGTGTCACTATTAATACTAGTATAACCACTATGAGTAAAATCGTAACTTTTAAGCATTCTATCAGCTTCATTAGAGTCGTGTGTCACCAAGAAATCGGCATGACTTATGATCCTTCTTGCTTTTAAATCTTCATCAACTGAAGACGTTGTGATTCCATCTGTTGGGTTTAATCTTGGTGGACCAGCAATTTCCACTAAAGTATCTCTCTTATGTATAGGATATGAATTGAAAGCAGAATCAAAATTTATAAATAGAGGAGGTACTAGGGCTGGCATAGCTATACAACTGTCCTGTTTAAATGAAAACTTAGGATTGCAATTAGTGACGCATAATGGGCCTAGCCCACATTCACCGTATTGTGAACAACAAGGCCACTCCTTGGGACAATGTGAATCTGATGAGCAATGTATTGCAATATCAGGCTTATAGAAACCAGTAGCTGATACTGATAAAATCGATCGAAATAAGAAAAGTAATCTTATTATATTGAATTTTAAGTAAAACATTCTTATTTAATCTGTGACCTTTATAGCAGTAAAGGCTGACAAATAGAAATTGAAATGTAAAGAGGACATAGGCGGTATTTAATAAATAGGAAGTTCATCACTATGAAATCATTGATATATAAATATTATTCTGTTAATCTTGTTTACTTATAAGTACTAGAGTAAATATTGACACAAAATATTTTTAACCCTTTAACCTATATGATTCTAATAGTTTACATATGTTGTGGATAATAAACCATTGAAGAACAAAAACTAATGACTAAGTAATTCGGATTTGAATTAGTTGGTGAATTGAAAGAAAGATTGCAAAACAGAAATTATTGGGTCATATAATCATAATAAAAGACAGTTTAAAAAGCAAGAAAGGAAAAGTGACATTCATGTAGTTGATTGTAGTTTCAAGGTTTTTTCATCAAATTTTAATAATCCTAGCTCTTCCTTTAACTTACTCTGAACTAAGGTTAATAAGTTATATAATAAAAATAATGTTGGTACAGGAACATTATTTTTTTCAGCTACTTTTATTGGATTACCTAAAATTATTTCTAGTTCCATTAACTGATTCTTTTCACGATCAACACACATCGATGGCTTAAATAACAAATTTCTTGAAATATTAATAAAGAAATCAATGAATTCTTCTTCAATTATAATACCTTCACTAGCTGCAATTGCAATTATTTCACGCATTGCAGGCTCATAAATAAATTTTTCAGTATGATCTTTATTCTTGGCAAATTCTAAAGTACGTGGTACGTCTAATTGGACCAGAGCAGTTGTGGTATTAATCGCAGCATTGTAGAGTAATTTTTTCCATCTTGCATAACGAACCCTTGGTTCAAATTCGACTATATTATAGCCTTCATTTGAATATATCTCAATAAATTCTTGGGATGCATTTCTTGCTTTAATATCGCAAGAATCAAAGCCCCCAACAAATAAACGATCTTTGCCTAACTGATGGATTTTTCCAGGACCAATTTTGGTAGAGCCGATAAATTGTATACCAGATAATAATGTAACGTTTTCTAATTCATCTCTTGAATAAGTTTGTATAATTTCGTTCTCTAGATCTATACCATTTTGAATTAATAGAATATTTGACTCTTTCTTTGGGTCAATTTCAGTGTTTGAAGTTAAAATTGGTCTCAGTATAGTTGATACTCTTGAGGCAACTGGTCCATCTGGGATGTTTTTGGTAGTGACTACAATAAAATCGTAAAAAATTTTTGAACTTAGGGAATCTTCAATAGTTTTATGGATAGAATGTGGTCTCCAATTTTCAATTTTACCGTAATCACAGGAATCAATACTATAACCTACTTGGCTAACAATTTCGTAATCAGATCTAATTACAACTGACACATTACATTTGTTCTTAAACCATAAAGAATAGGCTGTGATTACTCCTACACCACCAGCACCAATAATTAAAACGTTAGGGCCTTTAACTGTAGAACCACCTGCACTCATTGCTATCGTTGATTAGTTAATTGTTTACGTAATTAGTTAGACACTTGTTATAAATCAGGCATCCCTATGTAACAAGGTAATGGATGCTAATATTCCTAGGATCGTATAAATAATGTATACGTTACTAAATATCTATCTAATCAATAATGACTTTGATCCCTAGAAATCTAACAGAATAACCTTTTAAAATTTATTTCAAGCTGAACAGAATAAAAATCGGATTTATCTGGTCGTCAATGATATTAGAAACTTTTTCAATCACTATAGCAACGATCGATATAATGTACTTGTTCTTTCAACATCAACGCCGTGTCAAATTTTACATCAAAAAATAGTCAGTATAAGAAGGTAGGATTATCTAAAGATTTGATTGAAGAAAAATTGGAAAATGTTTAATAAATATGGGACACTCTGTTCTTTATGGATTAGGAAAGTTGTGGATTAATCGTATTCCATTTGAATAAAGTTTAGAATTTCGTTCCAGTATAGATTGTTTTTGCTACTAACGTCAAATTTTTGTATATACAAAGTATTAAAAAATTGACAAGACTTGACTTGACTTGACATTTTATTACATACTTGCTTTGAAACAAGGCTAATTGAAGTAAAGGAGAACTTTTTCCTATAGAATGGTTTTAACGGCATCATAGTATTGATATTAGGAAATTTGTTAAACTTGTTTTCTTTTTAGTTATATTTCTTCATTAGATTAATGAATGCTGTGTATCTGTACTGTATTTATTTAGTCAATTTGAAGTCTCAAGTACTGTTGTCCATTTTTATATAATCTGAAGGGTATCTCTGCTAGAGACATCGGAATAAGTTTCTTACTTAAACTTTGTTCTATCTTATACATTCTCTTTCCTTTGAATTTATTACCTGTTCTATATTATGCGGTTCTTGCATTTGTTCTTGCTCTAGTTCTTGCCAAGAACAAGGTCTGGCATTATAGTCAAAATCTTGCCGTCATAGTTAAGTGGCCAAATGAGGAAATTGTCTGGCCAGCTGGCACTAGAGAGGCTACAGCATTTGACTGGCCAGAAGTCGGGTAATGGCACGTGATAGTCCCATGCTCTACAAACCCTAATTGTACTTCTGTACAACTTGAGCCCAACACTGACACACTTGTCTATCGTACACGTAATGTATGGTATTCTCACTTAGAAATAGTTGTATTGCCAGTAGTTGTCAGCGTTCATTCGAGGTTTAGTATTCCGTGTTTTTTGTTATCATGTGTAGCATATAGCAAGAAATGTAATTGGAACTATTTTTGGCAATTATTATTCAAGTAATGTAATTCTTGAGACTACATTTGTGATGTAATCTCATCATATCTGCCTTAACATATAAGAAAGAGAAGAGCTTATAATAAGGAAGGTTAAAGTATACAAATTAGTTAGTCCAATAGCAGAAAACCAATAACAAGAATTAATGACAGACCAAGAACTAAATACCGAAGCCATTGAAATTACAAGTGAAGCTGGTATCATTATATTGCCAATATATGTAACATTGCCACTTGAAGCCTAAATCTAGAATTGTAAGAGTCTTTAGAAGATAAATACGATAAATATGATGTATATAATTGATACATTTGATACAACTGATACAATTGATACATTTAGTTCGTGTCTAAAACTAAGCACAATATGCGTCACAAAATACCATGACGTTCAAAACTTTAACTAGCCCTAGCCTTCTACCCTGGATTACATGGTCTTCCTGAATGGCAACCCTCAACTTGTCCTGAAATCTTGTTCCCTTGACCACATATATATTGAACGTTATTTGAGGAATGTTAGCCATCTGGGCTCGCTGAAAGGAAAAGAAAAAAAGAAAAACGGAAATGAAACTTCCCGTGCATGCCTAGCATATAAATCTCTTGTATTTAGGTAATTGTTGGTAACAACAACACCCAGGTGCGTATTATTTTCCTCGACAACAACACCTTGTTCATCTGGTCTCTCTAGCCAAAATGGTAAACAAACAAATACTAGTGTACAATTGAGATTATATATATTTAATTAAGTAAGCAAACATAAGAAAGGTGTGAATGGGTATATCTGTTAATAAGGATAGTTCTGTGTGCTATTCAACTTTTATTACATTGTACTGGTTTTTTATTACGTTGTCATTCCCAAGACTAATGGATCGAATTTTACACTTTTTGACTCAGAAAGTTTCTTGAAGACAAAATTTTTATCTATTATGTTTCATTCAATAAATTTACAATCTTGAAGGTTCTATGAGATTAACTTAAGTAAGAGTAGGGTGTAGTAACTCTGGAGAATGTCTGTTTTAAAACAAATATTTGGTAATGCTTATTTACACATAATTTCTTTTTCTTTGTCTTTTTCTTTTTTTTGGTAGTACTTTAATCATGAATTCTCTAAGGCTTTTTAAGAAGACTGACTAGCATTTGGTGTAGTACTCTTTAAATTATTATTGGGTGTCATAAACAATTAGTTGTCATCTTCAAATTACTAGTCCCTACATTGCTTCAATCAATTCAATATTTCAATGTATGCAAGATCACCAGGAATTCATTGGCCAACGAATGAAAAAAAATATCTTTAAACATTTTTATATAATTTATTCATATATATATGGCCAATAAAATCAAGAAATAATGATGAACTTGAGAACTTATATTCTATCAATTACTTAATTTAACTTTTATATAAATAAAAAAAGCGAATCAAGACCTCAGCTCAATATGAAATACAAATATTTGATATTTTCATTACTGTCATTTGTCTCAATTACTAATGCTTTACATAAAGTTGACTCAACACTAGCAACCGCTTGTCTTCAGTATGAATTGCAATTTAACTGGGGATGTGGAAAGTCTCGGGGTGCGAACTATACATGTTTATGTTCTAATGTTAATTGGCTTGGTACCATTACAAATTGTATTACCGAAGGCTCAAATGACAAAAAAGGAATCGAACATGCTTTCAAACATGTAGCTGCACGTTGTAACTCTGCATTTTTTGATTACACTGTTGACGACATGTACAATTTCCATGAGAATGGTACAAATTATTTAAGAGATCCAACAGCATCTGATTATACAACACCCGTTATTGGCACTCTAAGAAATAACCAAACAACTTATGATTGGTATTTCAGCAAATATAAAGACTATACCTTATCTGTTAGGACCCATCAATGGTTCGGATGGGGTTTGGTATTTTTTTGGGTAACTGTTGTCTCAGTCGCAACTTTCTATAACTTATTGAGAAAACTCTTTGGTGTTGAATTATTAAATAATTCATTGAGAAAACATTTAGTAGTTCCATCACTATATAAAGATTATAAAGATAGAAGTTATAAGCTCTTACATTTTTTTCCATTGAATTTTACTACACGTTTAAATTCTCTGGTAGTTGCTGTATTTTTAATTCAAGCCATTGTCACGGCATGTGTAGGTTACCACTTGCCTTTGCCTAATCCAGCTTATATGACAGCTTGGCAGAGGAATACTTCTATGATACAGTTTAGAACTGGTATCATGTCACTTTCATTATTTCCCGTCATTTATCTTTTTGGTATTAGAAACAATCCATTAATTGAAATATCTGGTATATCTTTTTCGACTTTTAACTATTATCATAAATGGTGTGCTTATGTATGCGCTTCTTATGCTTTTATCCACGCAATTATTTGGACTGTTGTTTCAATTAAGTCTGGTTGGTATAAATCTGCCTTTTCGTCAGACTATTGGAATTATGGTGTTGCAGCTATGGTATTCTTAGGTATCCTAGTGGTTCACAGTAAAAGAATTTTTAGAGATAGATTTTATGAATCCTTTTTGATTCTTCATAAATTGTTAAATGTGGGATTTATTGTCGGTATGTACTATCACTGTTTATCATTTGGTTGGATCGGATGGACTTGGTCAATGGCCGGTATTTGGATCTATGACAGGTTGATGAGAGCAATTAAAATATTTCTAAATGGTGGTATTCATGATGCAATGATAACGGATTGTGGAAATGGGGTTATTAAAGCTGTTCTAAAACATCCAAAATTAGCTAAATATCCAACAGGATCGTTTGCTTATTTATATTTCATTAATGCTAATAGATTTTGGTATTATACTTTCCAGTCACATCCATTTACAGTAATGAAAGACCCAAAACAAGACCCAAATAACCCAGATAGTTTGATCTTTTATTTTAAAGCAAATAGAGGTATCACCAAGAAAGTATTATCAAGAATCTTAAAATCTGGTTATGCTTCTGTATCTTTTAAAATGTTAATTGAAGGTCCATATGGGTCACCTTTACCTGAATGTAAAATGTCTAGAAGAAGAAATGTCGGTGTTGCTGGTGGTTTGGGTGTTACAGCAGTATACCCTCATATGGCTGAATTGTATCAGAAAGGTCATAATAGTGATTTATGTCACAAGTTTATATGGATTATTAATGATACTATTTGTGTAGAATGGTTTAAAGAGGAATTGGATTGGCTTTGTGATAAAGGGTGTGAAGTTGTAATTTATAATACTAGATCACAATCAACAGCTGATTTAGAAAGTTCCAGTTCTATTGATAAAGAAACAGAGGGCAGCACTGACAAGAAGGGTAGCGAGAGGGAAAGTGTCTTTGAAATTAAAAGAAGATACGAAATAGTAAATCTAGGATACCGTCCAGATTTGAAGAATATAATATTAAAAGAAATTGAAACAACACAAAATATTTCTGAAGATTTAGAGTTCTACAGTTGTGGTTCCTCTGCATTCAACGATCATTTCAGACATGGAGTCGCCCAAAGTTTAAGTCATCAATGGACAATCGATATATCTTTAGAGGAAAAGAGTTTCACATGGTAAAAAGAAAAGACAATTATAATTCATTGCAACCCCAAATATCCTGCAACAGGCACGATAGTTTATTTAAAACCAAAATAAATCATGTACTATATATATATACCCACAGTTATTGTCGTTTACTTTAATTCAATTTACTCACAGTCTGCTTTAGCGGTTTTCATAAGTTGCAGCTTTTCAGGAAATAAATATCCCTTTTTGCTTTTTTAATTTTTAGGAATTAGAGCAAAAATTCAGTTTAAATGTTTCCAACACCCTCCTGAGTCAATTTTTAACTTCTTGGAACGCAACAATGGTAATTGGATGTATTGCTTTGGCGTTTATCTTTTGATATTTATGTGCCAATGGAATGTTACCAATCTCATTTCAGTGATGAAATAAAATAAATTATCAAAAAGAAACAAAATTAAGGTTATTTTCATTTTTTTTTTACCGACAAGACGTATTTATTGTACGTCTATTTATCTGAGTTTTATTAAAGTAGAGAGTTTAATCCGCATCCGTATTCGCGTAAACCTCTGCGTCGAGCACTGAGCCTCTGTTCGGACATTTACCAGAAAGTTCAAAAAAGAAATGGTAAGCTATTCTTCTCTTCCACAAGATCTTGAGGCTACACCTACTTCTCTGTCATCCAATATTATTGCTCGTTAATATTTGTTAATTTTGCTCCACTAATGAGCTTATTTAGAGCAATATTCTGAGCTTTTTTAACTATTTAACATTGATTTCTGATGTCTATACAAATACTTTGGACAAGATAACTTTAGTTAGTCCTCTAATTGAGAAATCGTCCACTGGAAGTAAGTTTTACTTTATAGAAGGAGAAGAATATATCGAATATCTTCTTCTTGACGTTTTTCATTGACGATGAATTGATTTTTGTAGTTTGATTTTTATTTCCTCCCTTCTGATATACTGACTATTTTTCATACCGTTACTTTTTTGAGAAAGTGTCTATTCTCGATTTGGTTAACTGAGTAGAAGAGAAAGACAGGGAAAAGAAGTGGGTGTGGTTAGTTCAAGTTACTGTGACTTTCAATTCAAGCTTTGATACTAGCTTGTAGTTGTGGGACGATTTTTTATTTGAATTTTATGCTTTTCATAATATTAAATATAATAATTCAGTTTAAATATAGCGGATCTTGAGCAATTATAGGGTATCTTTGATTGTTATCACAGTGGGTACTGTTTAGATTGCAGATAGTTATTTGTAAACTGTGAATAAATATAGTCTCTGGAAAAGTACAGCCCTTTTTTCAATTTATTTTTTTATTTCTGGAGGAGGGTAGAGAAGGCATCACTTCCATCCATATTTGCATTGCAAGTTAAGCAATTACGATCATACATATATAAAAGAGTGTGTGATTTTAGAAGAAGCTTCAAGTTGTTTTTTGCTTTAGACAGCATACTGTTATTTCCTGAACAGCTAGTCGTCCATCACTAAGATAAGTACCTGAAATCGAATATGCGATTGTACAACCTCCTTTTAACGTTGTTTATCACTACATCAACAGTGAATTCACTGGTATTCGTGGACTCTACACTTGCATCTGCATGTATTTATTATGAATTGCAATTTGATTGGGGTTGTGCTAGTAAAAAGAATAACATGAAAGGTTACACTTGTCGTTGTAATAACATCAATTGGTTGGGTACAGTTACAAATTGTATCGCACAGGCAACAGATTCAAAGCACTTGATGGAACATGCATTTAAACATGTTGCTACTCGTTGTAAGCAAAAAGCTGGATTGCATTTCACATTGGAAGATATGTATAATTTCTATGAAAATGGTACAAAATACTTAAGAGATCCTACTGAAAACGACTTTTCACATCCTGTTTATGAAACTTTAAGTAATAATCAAACTAGTTTCGAATGGTATCATAGAAGTTTTAAGAACTACACGGTAGCAGTCAGAACGTCACAATGGTTCGGGTGGGGTTTAGTCTTTTATTGGGTAGCAATTGTATCCATTGCAAGCTTTTATAACATTATGAGAAACATATTTGGTCGTGAAATGCTAAATAATACATTGAGAAGAAGAATTGTAATCCCATCAATCTTCAGGGATTATAAAGATAGAACTTACTTCTTATGGAAATTTATTCCCTTTAATTTCTCGACTCGTCTAAATACTTTGGTGGTTATTGTATTTCTAATACAAACAATTATTAGTGTTGGTGTGGACTACTATTTACCATTGCCTCATCCTTATTTGACATCTGGATGGCAAAGAAATTTGACTGTTGTTAGTTTTAGAACTGACTTAATGTCTATCTCTTTATTCCCTATAATTTATTTGTTTGGTATTAGAAATAATCCATTGATTGAAATTTCAGGTATTTCTTATTCAACCTTTAATTACTTCCATAAATGGTGTGCTTACGTTTGTACCGTTCTAGCTTTTATTCATTCAATCATCTGGACAGCATACGCTATAAAAGATGGAGGATATTCTGTCTGGTATGTTGACGCTTATTGGAAATGGGGTATTGGAGCTATGATTTTCTTAGCTTTATTAATTTCACATAGTCAAAAGGTTATTAGGGACAATTTCTATGAAACATTTTTGGTTTTCCATAAGGTTATGAACATTGCTTTCATCCTATGTATGTATTATCATTGTAATACTTTAGGTTGGTTGGGATGGATTTGGTCAATGGCTGGTATATGGATATATGATAGGTTGATTAGAATTCTTAAAATTGTCTGGAACGGTGGAATTCATAATGCAAGGTTAATTGATTGTGGGAATGGTATCCTAAAAATATCAGTTCCATATCCAAAGTTTGTAAAATACCCAGTTGGATCTTTTGCTTATTTATATTTTATTAATCCAAATGAATTCTGGTTCTACACCTTCCAATCTCATCCATTTACTATAATGACAAATCCAAGGCACGATCCTAAAAACCCTAATCATTTGCTCTTTTATTTGAAAGCTAATAAAGGTATCACACGTTCTATGTTATCAAAGATTCTGAAGTCAGGTTCAAGGACAGTAAATTGTAAAATGTTAATTGAAGGACCATATGGGGCTTCTTTGCCAACGTTAAAGGTTTCAAGGAAAAGATGTGTTGGTGTTGCTGGTGGTGTTGGTGTTAGTGCCGTTTATCCTCATATTGTGGAACTCTATCAAAAAAATTACAGTACAGATCTGAAACATAAATTCATATGGATTATTAATGATTTGAACTTTTTAGGTTGGTTTGGGGAAGACTTGGATTGGTTAATATCTAAGAGTTGTGAAGTTACAATCATTTATACAGGTATGAAAAATAATGATTTGGAATACTATTATCCCTCAGATAAGTCATCTTTATTGTCATATGACACAGAGTCATTTGAAAAGAAATATAATGTTATTAACCTAGGGACCAGACCTAATTTACACCAATTAACTTTGGAAGAAATTGAAGCAACTCAAAATATTTCTGAAGATTTGGAATTCTATAGCTGTGGTTCTTCTGCTTTTAATGACAATTTCAGAGATGCAATTGCCAAAAACCTTGCTAAAAATTGGTCAATTGACATTTCATTAGAAGAGAAAAGTTTTACATGGTAAAAAACATTACCAAAAATGATACATGATTGTACATTATTAACTAAACCGAAATTATTGCATCCTAAATGTATTCCACTTTGTATATATATATATATGACATATATTCTTGATTATAGTACTATTGATTAATTATTTATTCTTCATTAGAATCACTGCTACTGTCTTCTTCCATCGATTGCTTGCTTAGAAGCTCCTTCCATTTTTGAGTCAATTCTCTGATAGCTTCAGGATTCAGACTTGCTTCAACAATATCAGTTGGCACTTGGTTTTCTGAGTGTTCCTTGCATGCGAACCTACCTACATTATTTTCCTTAATTAATCTGAACTCATAATCTTCTTCTTGGCCGATTGGAGTAACAGGTTCATTTTTTGTCAACAACTCACTCCATGAAAACATTAATGGATCAGTCATTCTTGCAAATGGGTTAATGTCTATTAGAAAAACCTTGTTGAATGGTCTTGGTATGTACAGGTCTATCACGAAGCTTTTTAACGGGAATCTATCTAATATTTCATCGTCTATGAAATCTTCAATTAAATCTCTGAATTTATCGACCAATGGCTCTAAGTAATCATAATAATTTAAATCTCTTTGTGATATACCTAATATTTCATTATCTTTGATAAAAATACGGAACTCTAATGCTGGATTTATATCAAACCATTTCCTTAGAACTAATTCGAAATCAGAGCTTTTCTTTTGATCTTCTATGTCTTCACATTCATCAAATGCATGTTGTAAGTCATGGGCTATATAGTTAGAAGCATTTAAGAGAAGGTATACCTCATTAATCTCGTTACATTTCATTGTATTATTTGGCAAAATCCAAGTTGCATCTTTGGGGGCAGACCAATTCATTTTTGGTGCTACTGCGCCATATTTTGTTATCACATCTTTAATCTGTCTATGCAACTCAGGGAAATCGGCTAGTGGATCAATTTCTTTCTTCACTTCCTGTTGGATTACTTTATCTTCTTCTTCATCGTCATCTTCATTGTCCCAATCACTGTACTCATTATCATCATTTATAGTTAAATCCTCAGAATAAAACGAACGATTCTCATTTGGTATTTTAATTCCATCTTGTTCCAAGTACTCAATGAACTCAGCTGGTAAAGGGCCAATAATTTCTGCAGTTGGACAATGCTTCTTGAAAAGAGGATACCAATTAGAGAACCGACATGTCTCTATATCTTCCCTTTTAATAGGGACATTCACAAGTGGTGTATAATCGGTATTCATCTATCTATATCAATAAAAAAAAATTCTGGATTTCTTAGACTGAACTATTCTTGCTAATCCGATCTAATCTGGACCTTCGGATAACTATTTAAACCATCAATATCGATGATAAGTTTTATATCTTTAACCTCATCTCATCTCATCTCATCTCAGTTGCTTGCTTGTCTTACTAATTCGCTGAAAATGAAATTTCGAAAGATTCCATATCATTCGGTACGTGTCACTAAGGTGGCAATGATTCGGTCACTAAACACGAGTGATATCACATTGGAAATATTGGAAAATTATTTAAAATGATGAAATTTAAGACAAGATAACTACTTAAATGAAGGTTAAACAAAGGTGATCAAAGAGGTACAATTGATCAATATTGTCAGTGCTGAGCAGTTGAGAATAGCAATATTATAGATTAAGAGTGAAAATTAGTTGTTTCCGTTTTACTTGAACGATTTTGGTTTAGTTTTGTTCGATTAATTTTAGATTTTATTTTTGCCCTCACACCAATTATCACTTTTATATACAAATAATATACTATTGAACAATAATGACGACTGTTACTCCATCCAATGCTACTTTTAAGAATAAAGAGAAGCCTCAAGAGGTCCGTAAGGCTAATATTATAGCTGCTCGTGCAGTTGCAGATGCTATTCGTACTTCTTTAGGTCCTAAAGGTATGGATAAGATGATCAAGACTTCTCGTGGTGAAATTATTATTTCAAACGATGGTCATACTATTTTAAAGCAAATGGCTATCTTACATCCTGTTGCCAAGATGTTGGTTGAAGTTTCTGCTGCTCAAGATGCAGAAGCTGGTGATGGTACCACTTCTGTTGTCATTTTAACCGGTGCATTGTTAGGTGCTGCTGAAAGATTGTTGAACAAGGGTATTCATCCAACTATTATCGGTGAATCGTTTCAAAGAGCTGCGAAAAGATCAGTAGAAATTTTACTGCAAATGTGTCATAGAATTTCTTTGAATGACAGAGATGATTTAATTAGAGCAGCCTCCACTTCTTTGAGTTCAAAAATCGTCTCTCAATTTTCTAGTTTCTTATCTCCATTAGCTGTCGATGCAGTATTGAAAATTACTGATGAGGACGCTACAACTGTTGATTTGAATGATATTAGATTGATCAAAAAAGTTGGTAGTACAATTGATAGCACAGAAATGGTCGACGGTGTAGTATTGACACAAACCGCCGTAAAGACTGCAGGTGGTCCAACTCGTATGGAAAAGGCTAGAATCGGTTTAATCCAATTCCAAATTTCTCCTCCAAAGCCAGATACTGAAAACAACATTGTAGTCAGTGATTATAGACAGATGGATAAAATTTTGAAAGAAGAAAGAGCATACCTGTTGAACATTTGTAAGAAGATCAAGAAGGCTAAATGTAACGTTCTTTTGATTCAAAAATCTATCTTAAGAGATGCTGTTAATGATCTAGCATTACATTTCTTATCTAAATTAGGTATTATGGTTGTTAAAGATATTGAAAGAGAAGAAATCGAATTCCTATCCAAGAGTTTAGGTTGTAAGCCAATTGCAGACATCGAATTATTCACTGAAGATAGACTAGGTACTGTTGATTTGGTTGAAGAAATAGATAGCGATGGCTCCAAGATCGTTCAATTTACCGGTATAAAGAGCAATAATGCTAAGCCAACTGTGTCAGTTGTTATTCGTGGTGCGAACCAAATGATCTTAGATGAAACAGAGCGTTCATTGCATGATGCCTTATGTGTTATCCGTTGTCTAGTAAAGGAAAGAGGTTTGATTGCTGGTGGTGGTGCCCCAGAAATTGAAGTTTCTCGTATATTAAACAAAGAATCTCGTGAAATGCAAGGTGTAGAGGCATTCATCTGGCAAGAATTTGCAGAAGCATTGGAAGTTATCCCAACTACATTAGCTGAAAACGCCGGTTTAAATAGCATTAAAGTTGTTACTGAATTACGTTCTAAACATGCAAACGGTGAAGTAAACGATGGTATATCTGTTAGACGTTCTGGTACCACTAATACATTCGATGAACATATTTTACAGCCAGTATTAGTAAGCACAAGTGCTGTTACATTAGCTGCGGAATGTGTGAAATCCATTCTGCGTATTGACGATATTACTTTCAGTCGTTAATTTTAAATGCATACATAGATATCATTAAGTATTTATGTTACATACGTGTATCCTAATATAATAAAATAGAATTTTGAAACCAAAGTTCTTGAATGCATTAAAATTTTTCTTTATCAATGATTAGTAAAATGGTATATGATATAAACAAGAGTAGATAATTTTAATTTTTTTTGTAGTTCATAATAGTCATTATTATTTTGATTGCTATTGTTATTGTTGACATTATTGTCACCATGCGTTTTCTCATTGTGTCAATATTTGAGAATCTTTATTATAGAAGTTTTGCTGTATCTTTACGGAAGAAATAAGATGATCCACTTAAAACGGTTGTAATACCAACAACATAACCCATGTATTCAAAACCTTTTTGACACCACCATGACCAATGGTTTTTGTCTATATCAGTATTTTTGTTTTCTTTCCCTTCTTTATCCTCAGTCATATGGTTTATCATTAATAGTATTACACCCCATCCTAGATATATCATTTGTAAAAAAGTATTCCATTTTGATATTAAAGTTGGTTTCACTTCCACACTTGGGAAATTGAAGAAGTCCCAATACGATTTCCAAGTCACTGTGCTATATTTTTGTTTCATGGAAGTAAAACGAACAAAAAAAGAATTTGCAGCAAGCAAAGCATCTCTGCCTAATATTAAAGAAGCAATTGACATTGGTATAATCTGAGGACCTGGTGGTAACGCCAATGAAGCCGTTGCTACTATCATTAAGATTTTATCAGCCATAGGGTCTAAAATTGTTCCAGCTACTGATCTTAAATTGTATTTTCTTGCAATATAACCATCTAAAAAATCGGTTACACATGAATATGCAAAAAGGTAAAATGCTGGGGTGAAGTTATTAGTTAGTATATAGCCTCCAATAAATGGTGCACAGGCTATTCTGGATAGTGTAATTATATTTGGTAACGTCAACGACTTTTTCCCAATGATCTTACTATCCATTTTTTGGGGGGAGTTTGAATTATCTGAATAATACCTTTGAGATATAAAATTACCTCTATTCACTTGTTTTGCAACATGTATTCTAAATATGGACGGTATAGATCTAACCCTCAAGGATCGTAATCCTATTGTATTTAATAGTAGCATGTCTTTTTCTTAAAAAGGTTAGAAGACTCTTTCAACACAAACAATAAAATAATGAAAATTACTTATTGTACACTCTAAAATATTCTGAATACGGTTAAATCCTATTAAAAATGTTTAAATTTATCATTAGATTTCAACAATTTTCCTCAACAATCTGATTCCTCCTTTACAAAACTAGAAAGTACCCTTCCCAATGAAAATAATTAGTCAAACTATATCGATCTTCTTAAATCTGTTTCGAATCGACTTAAAATTCGATCTGATCTCGATCTAATTGAAATTTTCCAATTCGGTAAAAATACCAGATTTGATAATTACTACGTTAATCTCTTAGAAATAGCTCAAAAAATTAGGAGATAGTTTAATCTATTTCAACATAACTTCGATATTCTATCTCATCTCATACAGTGCAAATCATATCAACTATCAACTTGTGGTAATCATAATATATGGTTTATAATTCAACTGTTCAATCAAGTCATGGTATAAAATTGAATCATCTCAATAAGACTCTTTGATACATTTCGATTTCGAAAAGTGAAAAATTATCAAAAAAGAAAAAGATTCAAATTGGATTAATGACCAGTACTTGAAGGGAACTTTTAAGATACAGTACGTAGATTAACAAGTTCAGATGAATTCTTTACTGGATTTGTGAGGTGCTCAAATACTAAATTTTTTAGATAGTTTAACAACGTTGAACATTCAGACAGGAAGAACAAGAGTAAAAAAAATTCTATGAGCCAGATATAACAAATATTTGGCAATTGGGAAACATATATAAACAGGGATTATAAATTAAATTCTAGCTTCTGTTCTAGATCAGATTTGTTTAATTTGACTTCTCTTTAGTTCAGGTTTTGGTTCGTGAAATTGAACTATAATAGCAACTATAATAAAATAGTTATTTCTTTACCAATGAACGTTCTAGTATTTAATGGTACTGGAGCTTCTGCTAGTTCTGTTAAGCATACAGTGGAAACATTACGTAGGTTTTTAGAACCATATTATGCTGTTAATACTGTATCTATTAAGGCATTGGAATCTGAACCTTGGACGTTTAAGGCTTCTGCAATTGTATTTCCAGGTGGAGCTGACCTTCCATACGTTAAAAATTGTAAAAATGTCATCCCAAAAATTAGAAACTTTATAGAAAGCGGTGGTATTTATATTGGTTTCTGTGCAGGCGGTTATTTTGGTAGTTCACGTTGTGAATTTTCACAAGGTGATCCTCTCTTAGAAATTACAGGCAATAGAGAACTTGCTTTATTCCCAGGCATAGCTAGAGGTCCTGCTTTTAAAGGTTTCCAATACAATAGTGAACTTGGTACAAAGGCTGCCACTTTAAAACTAAAAGATGGTTCTGCATTTAAGTCCTATTTCAACGGTGGCCCAACTTTTGTTGATGCAGAGAATTATAACAATGTTGAAGTTCTCGCTTATTTCCAAGAACCAACAGATGTGTCAAGTTCAGATATTAATTCAACAAATGATTTAAATGAAGGTAATACTGTGAATGCTGCTGCTGTAGTGTTATGTGAAGTCGGTAAGGGTAAAGCATTATTGACAGGACCACATCCTGAATTTAATCCTGAATATCTAGAGAAATCAGAAAGTAGAGAATTTATCAAAGATGTTATTAAAGAGTTAAAGGATAATGAAAAGGAAAGATTAAAATTTATGAAATTCATCCTTACATCAGCGGGTTTAAAATGCAGTGATCATGATGAAACTCAACCTCTTCCTACTCTGAAGCCATTATTTGCTTCCTCTTCTAGTAATAGACACCATTACTTGACTAGATTTAAGGAAGCTTTGATAGAACATGGGTCTGAAGATACAAAGATCTATCCACAAAGTGGCATTGAATTTGATGGTGGTGAAAATAAGATAATGATATTTGAAGGTTTCAATAAAAATTATAGGCATTTGTCAGATTTGATGAGCAAGTATGACCTTGACGATGAATTGATTCAATCAATTATTTTTCCTGATCAAGGAGAGAATTTCCCACCAAAATCATACACACCTCACTTCAATACTGAGATATACTTTGAAAATTTGAAAACAAACTCGGTAGGGTCTATTTGTCTCTATGGTGAAGTAGTTACTTCAACAAGTACCCTTTTAAATGCTAACAGGCTTTTGTTATCAAACATACCAAATAACAGTCTTCTTCATGTAGGAACAATCCAGTTATCAGGTAGGGGAAGAGGAGGCAACAGTTGGGTTAATCCAGTAGGTGTATGCGCCTCGACAGCGGTCATCAACATCCCAACTGTTTCTCGGTTTACTAACAAGCCTATATCGGTCGTGTTTGTCCAATATTTAGCAATCCTAGCATATTGTAAAGCAATTATCTCTTATGATTCTGGCTTTGAGGATATACCAATTAAGATTAAATGGCCAAATGATATTTATATTTTAAGTCCAAATTACTACTCTCAAAAGAAAATGCACATTTTAGGCAGAGGTATGGAATCTAGAGTAGTTCCTTTAACTGAAATTGAGCCTGCGTATGTTAAAGTAGCAGGTATGTTAGTTAATACTAATTACATTAATAATGGATATTCAGTATTGCTGGGATGTGGTTTGAACATAAATACTGAAGGGCCAACTACTTCTTTGATGAGATGGGTAAATTTATTGAATGAAGAACGTAAAGCTCAGAATCTTGCTCCACTGCCAGAAATAAAAACTGAAAAATTATTGGCACTGTACATGAATCATCTAGAAGTATTGTTAGAAACTTACGAAAGATATGGTTCATCGGCAATACTTGAAGATTACTATAAATTCTGGCTGCATACCAATCAATTAGTGACACTATCTGATCATCAGAATGTAAAAGCCATTATTTCTGGTATCACTAGTGATTATGGTTTATTGATAGCAAAAGAGTGTGTTCAAGGATCTGAAACAGAATTCACTAGTACAGTTTATAACTTGCAACCCGATGGTAATTCCTTTGATATCTTTAAAGGTCTCATCTCCAAAAAAGTTCTTTAACTACTAGCATTTTTTATGCCATGTTCATATATACAATTTAAATATTTTTAAAAGTAAATAAAAATAGATTTTAAAACGTAAAATATGTTAATTTAAAGTATATAATTTTATTGTTTATTGTTAATTAGTGCAGGATGTTTGGTATAATATAAAATGAAATTTTAATTTATGAAGGCTATCAAAAAACCTTACGATGAATTTCAATGAATTTTCAGTATAATACAATTACAAAAATAACAGGAAATAGCAAACATTTAGGAGCATATTTACCCATTCAAAGAACAACTTATTACATATCCTAATTGTTCTTTTCATTACCATCGCTATCCTTCTTTGGTGAACTTGGAGAGTAAGAAGGAGAGCCAGGACTATAACTTGGAGATGTTGGGGAGTATGATGGTGATGTTGGAGAGTATGATGGTGAGGTAGGTGAATATGATGGAGAAGTTGGCGAATATGATGGGGATGTTGGTGAGTATGATGGTGATGTTGGTGAATAGGATGGTGATGTTGGACTATAACTTGGAGAAGTTGGTGAATATGATGGTGAAGTTGGTGAGTATGATGGAGATGTTGGTGAATATGATGGTGAAGTTGGACTGTAACTTGGGGAGGTTGGAGAGTATGATGGTGAGGTAGGTGAATATGATGGAGAAGTTGGCGAATATGATGGGGATGTTGGTGAGTATGATGGTGATGTTGGTGAATAGGATGGTGATGTTGGACTATATCTTGGAGCAGCTGGTGAATCTGCAGATGCAGATGCTGGGTATGATGCGAGATGCTGCTCAATTCCAAGGAGACCCTGTTGCTTCTACCCGTGCACCGTACTGCAGGACCTGAGAATGACACACCGGCTACTCCGGTATCGGTGGGTGCGTCCCCGTCCACGGTTACTGCCAGATTCAGCATGCTACAGATCCGTCACTCGCTTCAGCGGTGCCCCGCGGTGCAGAGGTCTTCTGTTGATTCACCATCCTCTGATGCTGAGGCCAATACCTTGGCCTTCCCCGCGATGCGCCGAAGTCAACAGCCCGCAATGCAGCCACCCGACTCTCCACCCCTACTAGATTCAGTAGCCTTCCCTGGCGATCGCCTGTCCCAGCGGGCCCCACCCCGGTCCACCGGGTCCCCCTCGCTGCGCGCCAACCCGGCCGCCTCGCGCGGATTCGATCGCTTCCGCCCCGACCACAGTAATTCCACCGGATCCCCGCCCGACCTCTGGTCCTTCGGGCCCCCTGACCGTGCTGGCTCATACCGCGCGGCACTGTGCTCACACAGCCATCTGACGAATCGCAGAAGTTACACTCGGTGCCCCCTGGGCGGCTCTGAAAGCGGAGCCCGCGCCGCTCACGCCTTCCGGCGCCGCTTGATCCTCCCTCTCTGCCCCTGACCGGAGTGGCTAGCCGACCCGCACATGCTCCCGCACCTTGACGAGTGCCGACCGACGCCCGGTGAGGCCGGAACGCCGCGCGTGAGCCCGTGACCGGACCCCGTATTGGCTACGTGCGGCAAGCTCGAGCGCTGAATGCTATCGCTGGATGCAACCCCCGGCTTGGTCTCGCCCAGCGACGGTAGATGCCGCCGATTCTGGACGCGCACGGATGAGACCTCACAGTAGATCGGCACCGACGCTGCCCGGGCTGTCCGCTCTCGACCCGCTCTCCGCCACATGGAAGGTACCGGGGTGATCGCTGCGCCGCGGCGGCACCCGCGCCACCTCGAACACACGTGCGGGACGGCGCGTGCGACCTCTCCGGTGCTCCTCCCTCTCAGCCGAACGGCAGTGAGCCGCGCGCCTTGCAGTGCCTGAGCACCTGAGCCGACGGCATACGTAGCGTTATGCTCGGGAGCGGAGAATGC